TACGCTGTTATATGTATGCATGAGAATATTTAATTCATACAACAAAATGCAACGATACGCTTAGTTATATAAACCATATTTAAGGTAAAAATGTGCAACTTAGTGCTTCCATTCTGATGTCATTTTTATAAGTAATAATCGTTAAGCTGATCTAATAATTGTTGAGATGTCATTTATACAATTTAGCTTAAGTACTCTTGATGTCTCGTTCCGAACACAATGAATACTATGAAACCAACAAGAAGTTCAGCATAGTCGTTGTTGATATTCAATCAAGAATCTTTTTCCTGAACAGCCAGATTAAAAAAAAAAAAAAACGAATTGTAAACAATTCTCCTTTCGGACTTAAAATTTCAGGAAGGAAATCAGCAAGAGAAATTGCTTTCTAACCTATCTTCCACTCCTTTACTCCTCACTCCCACTTACAAAACACAAATTTCCGTTTACGGTGAAAAAATGAAATCTAATCCGGAAATATATGTGGAACACATTTGAAGATCTCTTCGTCTATTTTTTCGCATCATTTTATAATTTTGGAGCTACAACATTCCTCCTCGATCAAAAGACCAAGAATTTTTCGCAACTTCCAAAGCCAAAGTCAGCCAATGATGTTTACTTTGCTGTATGTTGTAAATGCAGTGGTAAAGTCCGTTGGTAGATTTACCCATGTTAGAAATGTTACACTGTAGTAGTACTACACAGTAAACATTTCTATCCTATCTATGTACTTACTCAAACTGCACTCTTCCGTAATATCACGTAGATTCACTTATATACGTGTTTAAAAGTCAAAGATAATTGCAGAGACAATGGAAATCTTCAATACTACAGTAAAATTTATATCAGCATTAAAGGATATGATCAACAAATACATTATTCATTGCAAAATTTCCAGCTGGCTGTCAACAGATTGACATTCTTCGTACTGCAACACTCCTTTGAATGCTTCAACGATGTAATCATTCATCAACAGAAGAAAAATTTGAATTTTCATTATTGAAATTTCCAGGCTAATAAAATCCTTTGTTATTAATAAGCAATATAATTTTTCCTGGAAACGAAAGTTCAATACTCAAGTGATGCAGAAATTGAAGAAATTATCAAATTCATTATGCAATCTAATTGAAAATTATATCAACCAAAAACTTTAGACATTGGAAAGCTAATTAATAAGTAAATTCACTTTTTGTACTACAAATATTTTTAATTACATGGATTTATAGCTTGATTTAGGTTGATAATACTTTTATTTTATCACTTCGTTATCATTTGCAATTGATATTCAACGTAATTTATAATAATATTGTGGCAAAATTCTTGCCGGAAATTTGAAGATCATATCGATTATCAAATAAAATGCTCAAAAAATTCAAAATACTTTTGTAATTTAATGATGATTCGGTTTTACTACCATTTAAGCGCCCTAAAATTATCAAATTCATTATGCAAACTAATCGAAAATCACATCAAGCGAGAATTTAAAAGTACTGGAAAGCTAAAATTAGTGATCAAATTCATTTTTTTGCCAGAAATATGTTTAATTTCATCGATTTTTCGCTTAATGAAGTTCGTATTTTATCATTTAGTTACTGTTTAATCATTTATGATTAATATTTGACGTATTTATGACTATATTGTGGTAAAATCCTTGCCAGAAATTAAAAAATGGTTAGAGAATTCAATATTTTTCTATAATTCAATCAAATTTCGATTTTGCTACTATTTAAGCACCTTAAACTAAAAGCTAAAATTAATAAGCAAATTCATTTTTGTGTTAAAAATATTTTTAATTACATAGATTATTGCTTGACTTAGATGTAAAAAAAATCGTACTGCATCATTTCGTTAACATTTTATAATTTATAATCGATATTTCAAGTAATTCATAGCATTATTGCTTATCGACTGTCAAGCAAAATCCCAGATAAATTTAAATATTTATAATTCTCATTGAACTTTCCAAATACATTAATTTTAGATCGAAAAAAAACTGATATGAATAAACAAATTCACTTTTTTATTTGAAATATATTTACTTACATCGACTTATCGCTTCATTTAAGATTTAAAAATTTGTGATTTATCATTTTGCTGTAAACTTTCGAAAAAGGCATTAATAATATAACAGTTAAACGATAAAAAGCTCAAATTTAAAATTGAAAAATTATTTATGCACCAATCAATGCAATTTTTTGTTTTTGTAAAACTTTGTAAATTTATTTTTCAAATTCGATGAAAAGAAATTGCAGTCCAATTGTCAGACCTGCCTGATTCATTGGCATGTGATATATATGCATGTCGGGCTGATAATTCTGTGTTAAAGAAATATTTGGCTAAATTTTTATGTTAAACATATTCTTGGCCAATTTGTACGGAAATTATGGGCCGGAAATATTCCAAATTTTTACCTGTTTTAATTTTGGTTTTCTTTACTTTTTTTTTTGCTCCATGTGGAGTCAAACAAGTCAAGTTATTTGTATTTTTCATATTTTTCGTTCTAAATTTTTGATTTCTAAATTTAGGTATTTCTGAACCAAGATTTTTTTCTTCCTGTTTCACCTTCTTTTTATGGACGATTTATTTTTGCTTTCTGTTACTAATTTTTCGTGACTTCATATTCATTGTGCCAAAGCATCAATTTCTTTAAACGTTGTAAATAACCAAAATTACAAACGATTAACTCGTTGAAAACAGGTTAATATCATTTAAATATTTCCCATACAACAACTACTTATCAATTGTATTTAAACCAGAAATGTTCGTAAAAGATAAACTATTCAAGTAATGGAAGGATTTCTCAATATATAAAAAGTATTTCAATTTTATTAAATTGAAATGCAAAGTATTACTGTTCAAAACGTATAAAGTAATTAAAAAACAAGAAAACTATGTTACCCATCTTATTGTTATTACAAGAATTCATATAAAAAATGAAGAATACTTTTTTTTTTTTTTTTTTAGATAAACGTGACAAATCGTAAAAAAGCTGTGATGAATTTGAATTAACTTTTTGGTCAGAAGAGTAGATGATTTACGTTAGTTAAATTTACTCGACTTACTTTAGGTATGTAGAACTTGAATTGAAACCTTTTGTTTCTTGTCTACGAGCAAGATCAACCCAGATATCGTTTATTTTCTTTATAAATGTGAATCGATATAATACACAGCCGAATAATTGAAAGAACGAAGGAATAAATGGTACTGTTGAGTAGGAGGACGAGAAGACTGCCATTGATTGTTCCTTTGTTATTAACTGATTAGAGAAGATTTTTAAGGGTGTAGGAAGTGGGCTTAACTTGCAGATTAACATTTGCAGTGAAGAACAAAGAAGACAGATGTACATTTGCTATTTGAGGTTTAGATAAAGCATTCATTGTTTCAAAAAAATGGGATATAACAAAGGAATAACAACGAATTGGTTTATAGTGATGAATCATTAGAATTATTCTAAACATTTAGTGTGTAATAAAAATTTCGTGTTTTCCCGACAACAGCAGTTTTTTTTAAATTTTTTTTGAAAAAAAAAATTGGCTTTTAATTAAACACTGTTCTTATTTTTAATTTTGCTTCAAATTAATTCAAAAAAGGAATTTCTGTTTGATACCTTTTAATTTAATGTTCGAATTTTTCGAAAACATTGAAATTTGATAATGTGGTACGATTGATCTCCCAAAAAGCTTTCAGACATTCCTTTTTCTCTTTGCTTGTTTTTATCACTTTTTTTTTCCTTTTTTTTTGGACGGAAGAATACAAGTTTAAAACTTAGTATGGCGAAGTAATTTCAACAACACTTTGTATGGGATCATACATAACAGATTTGTTTTAAATTTATTGATGATAGCAGCAACATCAAAATTTGAATTTTTGTATTCTCTTTCGTTATCTTGTTTAAAACTTTAACTTTTCTATTCGAGTGTCACAAACTTTCTTGAAACATATCCTATCATTTATAATTTCAGTGATTTAGCAAAATTAAAATTTATTTCCTTGTTTAAATTATATATTACAGGAACTGATAAAAACTGTAAGTTTTCATAATGATCCATACTTAAATTTACAATAAAATTAATTTTTAATGGCATAAAAGAACTAAAACTATTATTAATTACAATTTTTGTCGCTGTTTAAATTTTATTCCACGGTTAATTTTATAAAGTTTTTTTTTTTTTTTTTTTGTCATTTAAGTTGTCAAATGAGTACGACAAAATGTGAATAAATCATTATGATTCACAATCAGTTATTTCTCTTTTAATAAGTCAAGTACTGCTCTTCCTTTAATTTTGTATTTTCTGATTATATTGCAATAACTATTCATTTTGTTTTCAACAGGTAAACAAACGGTTAGGGCGCAGTTACTCTTTCATTTCACTAAAACTGCACGTACGATGGCATCAAGACTCAAAGAGTACTCCAAGTATGTGGATTATGTAACAATTAGTGTTATTCGTGCATATCTTATTATTACTATTTGAGAGGCAAACTGGGTTGTAGTTTCTTCCCCTACAAGTCGGGCAATCAATGGGTGGGGCGCATTTATCCTTTTAGAGAGTACGGGTAGGACGTGACAATTAGTGCGTTTATGCATTTGTTAGTCGAACTGTTTGAGATGAGAATCAGAGTTTTTGTGCTTTCTTTCCTTCACTTTTTTGCTGATCGTTTGCTTTGATTTTCTTTTATTATTATTATTATTTTTTTTTTTTCTTGAGTTAATTAATTGAAATGAATCGAATTGATGATTTATTTATCGATGCCTTTATTTCTTTCAAATTTTCTTGTGACGTTTGTCTATCTTTGTTTTGTAAGTTTTATGAAATGGTGTTCATAGGAAAATAATATTAGTATTATTTGAGAAATAATGATTAAAATTTATGATAAATATTTATTTAAATACACAATTTCTGCAACTATTAATTGATAACAGATAAGAATGATGAATTATTTCACTTCTAATAATACTATCAAAAAAAAAACTATCGACAGCAAAATTTCACATTATTCTCTCATTTGAAGATTGGTACGTTCGAAAAATGACCAATACCGCACATAAATACCCCAGCGCGAATACGACCGTATCCTTTTTGACCCCATGTAGGGCCCCAACTATAAAATTAGTAATAATAGTTAGCAAATAAATTAAATTAAATTAAATATAGCTTTTGATACAACAAAAAATTATTTCAATTTATCTGTCTTGAGCAATATTACGACAAATAATTAAAATATAACAATAACAATTCTTCTTTTATTGTCGTCAATCCATTTTTATTTTTCTTTTTGGCCTTTTGCTTTTAACTTATATTAATCAAGACACCATAAGTTTGCTATTATTTTTTCATTATTAAAATAAATTCAAAATTTTTCATACCTGTTTTTGATGATAAAATATTCCATCCCATTCTGGACACCATAACCAACCGCTATTACCGCATGATTTACTTTTTCTGCATTAGTTGGACATTTTGGATCATTATAAATACCGGAAAATTTTTTAGTATTAAAATTATCAAACTGGTTCAAAATTATCAATTTCAAAATTTCTTACCATTTTTTTTTTTTTTTTCATAATTTTTCCTGTAAATTACTTACCACTTCGATAAGCTACAAAACTTTGTAATGACGAATGTAACGATACACAAACTGGTCCATATAGTGCTAGTATCTTCTTGAGAATTTGTTCATTGCTAGGAGGTAAATAGAATGCATCAGCTAAACCATACTTTCGTCGTTGTGGGGTATTTCTCGGGCATGAAACACTATCATTTTCCTTATATGGGTAACTCTTATCGGTCTTTACACCGTGCTCAGCAACCCAACGAAAAACCTAAAAATCATTTTTGCTATTAATTATATCATTTTTTACTTATATTTATATTTTATGGATAATAATTAACTAATTAATAATAAAATAACAAATTTCCGCATACCGCAGGTTCATTTCCGCCTCTTCCTTTGCATTTTTCCATTCCACTACAATCCATTACATCCTGTACTGATAGTTTTACCGGCCGTTTTTTAGTCCTGAGCGCCACATACATTTCAAGCGCTCCTAATGCTGAGAAAATAAAACACACACCACAACGACCCTAAAATTGATTTCAATTCATAATAACATGTAAATTATTGTTTCATGCAAATAACAAAAAGAAGAAAAGAAGCAAACAAAGAAATAAAAGGAATAAGGAAAACGATTTGTCACGTTTATCTAAAAAAAAAAAAAAAGTATTCTTCATTTTTTATATGAATTCTTGTAATAACAATAAGATGGGTAACATAGTTTTCTTGTTTTTTAATTACTTTATACGTTTTGAACAGTAATACTTTGCATTTCAATTTAATAAAATTGAAATACTTTTTATATATTGAGAAATCCTTCCATTACTTGAATAGTTTATCTTTTACGAACATTTCTGATTTAAATACAATTGATAAGTAGTTGTTGTATGGGAAATATTTAAATGATATTAACCTGTTTTCAACGAGTTAATCGTTTGTAATTTTGGTTATTTACAACGTTTAAAGAAATTGATGCTTTGGCACAATGAATATGAAGTCACGAAAAATTAGTAACAGAAAGCAAAAATAAATCGTCCATAAAAAGAAGGTGAAACAGGAAGAAAAAAATCTTGGTTCAGAAATACCTAAATTTAGAAATCAAAAATTTAGAACGAAAAATATGAAAAATACAAATAACTTGACTTGTTTGACTCCACATGGAGCAAAAAAAAAAGTAAAGAAAACCAAAATTAAAACAGGTAAAAATTTGGAATATTTCCGGCCCATAATTTCCGTACAAATTGGCCAAGAATATGTTTAACATAAAAATTTAGCCAAATATTTCTTTAACACAGAATTATCAGCCCGACATGCATATATATCACATGCCAATGAATCAGGCAGGTCTGACAATTGGACTGCAATTTCTTTTCATCGAATTTGAAAAATAAATTTACAAAGTTTTACAAAAACAAAAAATTGCATTGATTGGTGCATAAATAATTTTTCAATTTTAAATTTGAGCTTTTTATCGTTTAACTGTTATATTATTAATGCCTTTTTCGAAAGTTTACAGCAAAATGATAAATCACAAATTTTTAAATCTTAAATGAAGCGATAAGTCGATGTAAGTAAATATATTTCAAATAAAAAAGTGAATTTGTTTATTCATATCAGTTTTTTTTCGATCTAAAATTAATGTATTTGGAAAGTTCAATGAGAATTATAAATATTTAAATTTATCTGGGATTTTGCTTGACAGTCGATAAGCAATAATGCTATGAATTACTTGAAATATCGATTATAAATTATAAAATGTTAACGAAATGATGCAGTACGATTTTTTTTACATCTAAGTCAAGCAATAATCTATGTAATTAAAAATATTTTTAACACAAAAATGAATTTGCTTATTAATTTTAGCTTTTAGTTTAAGGTGCTTAAATAGTAGCAAAATCGAAATTTGATTGAATTATAGAAAAATATTGAATTCTCTAACCATTTTTTAATTTCTGGCAAGGATTTTACCACAATATAGTCATAAATACGTCAAATATTAATCATAAATGATTAAACAGTAACTAAATGATAAAATACGAACTTCATTAAGCGAAAAATCGATGAAATTAAACATATTTCTGGCAAAAAAATGAATTTGATCACTAATTTTAGCTTTCCAGTACTTTTAAATTCTCGCTTGATGTGATTTTCGATTAGTTTGCATAATGAATTTGATAATTTTAGGGCGCTTAAATGGTAGTAAAACCGAATCATCATTAAATTACAAAAGTATTTTGAATTTTTTGAGCATTTTATTTGATAATCGATATGATCTTCAAATTTCCGGCAAGAATTTTGCCACAATATTATTATAAATTACGTTGAATATCAATTGCAAATGATAACGAAGTGATAAAATAAAAGTATTATCAACCTAAATCAAGCTATAAATCCATGTAATTAAAAATATTTGTAGTACAAAAAGTGAATTTACTTATTAATTAGCTTTCCAATGTCTAAAGTTTTTGGTTGATATAATTTTCAATTAGATTGCATAATGAATTTGATAATTTCTTCAATTTCTGCATCACTTGAGTATTGAACTTTCGTTTCCAGGAAAAATTATATTGCTTATTAATAACAAAGGATTTTATTAGCCTGGAAATTTCAATAATGAAAATTCAAATTTTTCTTCTGTTGATGAATGATTACATCGTTGAAGCATTCAAAGGAGTGTTGCAGTACGAAGAATGTCAATCTGTTGACAGCCAGCTGGAAATTTTGCAATGAATAATGTATTTGTTGATCATATCCTTTAATGCTGATATAAATTTTACTGTAGTATTGAAGATTTCCATTGTCTCTGCAATTATCTTTGACTTTTAAACACGTATATAAGTGAATCTACGTGATATTACGGAAGAGTGCAGTTTGAGTAAGTACATAGATAGGATAGAAATGTTTACTGTGTAGTACTACTACAGTGTAACATTTCTAACATGGGTAAATCTACCAACGGACTTTACCACTGCATTTACAACATACAGCAAAGTAAACATCATTGGCTGACTTTGGCTTTGGAAGTTGCGAAAAATTCTTGGTCTTTTGATCGAGGAGGAATGTTGTAGCTCCAAAATTATAAAATGATGCGAAAAAATAGACGAAGAGATCTTCAAATGTGTTCCACATATATTTCCGGATTAGATTTCATTTTTTCACCGTAAACGGAAATTTGTGTTTTGTAAGTGGGAGTGAGGAGTAAAGGAGTGGAAGATAGGTTAGAAAGCAATTTCTCTTGCTGATTTCCTTCCTGAAATTTTAAGTCCGAAAGGAGAATTGTTTACAATTCGTTTTTTTTTTTTTTTAATCTGGCTGTTCAGGAAAAAGATTCTTGATTGAATATCAACAACGACTATGCTGAACTTCTTGTTGGTTTCATAGTATTCATTGTGTTCGGAACGAGACATCAAGAGTACTTAAGCTAAATTGTATAAATGACATCTCAACAATTATTAGATCAGCTTAACGATTATTACTTATAAAAATGACATCAGAATGGAAGCACTAAGTTGCACATTTTTACCTTAAATATGGTTTATATAACTAAGCGTATCGTTGCATTTTGTTGTATGAATTAAATATTCTCATGCATACATATAACAGCGTAAGCAGAAGTTAAGGGTTCTTTTTTTTGTACTTCTGCAACATCCATCATTTCTTATATATATGCTGAAGTACAAGCATATAATGTAATATGTTTATTGCATTATAAAAAGCAAGAGAAACAAAAGTTAAGCAAAAAACTTCGCGATAACAACAAAAGCAACTCCTGCAATAACTTATATAATTTATATAAAATATTTTTCAACAACACAGCTTATCACAATCAGTGAGAAGCAGAAAACGATATACAGACCATAACAATTAAACGATGTCATTCCCTTTTCTTTCACTTGATCACGAGAAAGTAAGTTTCCAAGTGATATTTATGGGACACATCGACCAACAAAGCGTGGGTAAAGACACACATCGCGAATATGATTGGTGTTTGTTAACCAACAAATAAAACGTTCCAAACCAAGTCCATAGCCACCATGAGGACAGGTGCCATATAAACGTTGATCCAAGTACCAGTAATACGGTTTCGGGTCAATTTCCACATTTTTAAAAGCTTTCGATAGTTCATCGAACTAAAATATACGAAGAAATTGTTAAAGAGAGAAAAAAAAAACGAAGAAAATGAATAAGAAAACTCTAGAAAATTCCTTTTTTTGAAATGTCTATTAATGAAGTTTTGAGAGTAATATACCTTCCAAATTCTCATACTGCCACCAACAATTTCGCCAACGCCAGGCATAAGAAGATCAACAGATTCTGTTAAGGTATTATCCTGTGCATCCCTCTGCATATAAAATGCCTTAATTTCGCTCGGGAAACGATTCAGTAGAATAGGCTATAAAATAATTCACAAATACAAACAAAAAGAGGAGTAAAAATTATTTCTGTTAATTCGAATCTCTGGAACTATCAAATTTTATTCAAAATATATACCTTTCTTATTATATTCTCGCTATAGTCAAAAAAATGAATAAATCATTTTTCACATTGGACACAAGCATTAAAGGCAATTTCTTAAAACTAGTTACAAATTCTAACTCCAAACGGCAGCGCCTAATTTAAATGTACCCAAAAATAATCCCGCAAATACTCACCTTATTGATGGTATCAGTCATGAAACGTTCCGCTGCTTCAGCAATATCTTCCCCATAAGTAAAAGTATTACCAAATTCATTCTCAACATTGTGTTCTTGCAACCATTTAATAGCATCCTTGTATTCCATTCTTAAAAATGGTCTTTCTGGCGGTTGAAATTTCTGCAAAAAGAGGATAAAAGGCAATTATCATTGATAAACAAAGGAAAACGTAAAGTATCAGTGAAAGAAAACTCCTCGTGTATATATTATAACTCTTATAATAACTCTAATAAAGAACAACCTTATTAACTATATGTTTTTTAGAATAATTACTGATCTTTGAGAAAAAATTAATCTTGTGAAGTAAGAATATATCGAAACAAAAGACAGAAGTTTATACTCATCGAATGTTTTAAACTTTTTTCCTATTATAACTGACTTTTTTAAAGCATAGAAACAAGTACTGAAAATATACGCTAAAAATGTAGCATATCATCTAAAAAAAATCAAAAACGAGAGAAAAAATAACCGGATTAATGTGTTCCAATAATTTTTTTGCCTCCTCGTCAGCTAAAAGTCGATCCACTGTGTCGCAAACGAGTTCTTCAATTTTCTCCATCAAATCATCCAGCGTTATGAAAGGACACTCGGCTTCAACATGTGCATATTCCGCCAAGTGTCGACGAGTGCGAGATTTTTCCGCCCTTAAAAAAGCATTCTCAATAATAGGAATGATTAAAAATATTGATAAAAACCGAATAATATTCACATAAAGTCTGCAATTTTTTCTAATTTATCAACTAGTGTTTTCCATTCATAAAATAAATCTCATCTTTCTCTCTCTCTTCCTTACTAGTAGTCTTAACGAGCAGTTTAAGTAGCAATAAAACTACTACTTAAAACAACATTAACACAATATATTATTATATTTCAGTTACAATAAAGCATTATTATTAAGCTTTTAATTATTATATGGCAATATCACTCTAAAATTTTGCTAATCGTTAACGCCAAAAAATTTCACAATGATTATGATTACTAGAAACCAACTGGCGCCGCCGCATTATGGTGACACATAAAAAATGTATGTTCGCTAAAAATTTTGCCTTTTTGAAATCATTCCTGTATAAAAATGAGAATAATGCATACAAACCTGTAAGACTGAGCAATGCAGAAGACATCACCAAGAGTGGGAATACAAGTTTCTAGATAGAGCTGTGATGACTGCGTAAGAAAAGATTGCTCACCAAAATAATCCAGATTAAATAACGTTGATCCACCTTCTACCTAGAAAAAGATAATTTTCAATTATTTTATTGATATACATATATTGTCCTAAACAACATTTCATCAAATATGTAACCTGCGTTTGCACTAAAGTCGGTGGTGCAACTTCCAAATAGCCAGCATTATAGAAATGTTCCCGCATTGCTCGAGTAGCAGCTGCTCTCAAACGTAGCAATGCAGCAGCATTTTCACCTCGAATAACCAAATGTCTATTGTCCAACATTTTGTCGACACTTGCTTCTTCGTTTAACACATTATCAATGCCTACAATGAATATAAACTATCGAAATTAGAATTTTCTTATCTATTTCTATTAGTGTATAACAATGTAACTTAATAGTACGGTGAAATAAGCTAACTATACATCAGTATATGATGAAATATATCATGACCAGACGTAGCAAGTTTCATATTCTTTATGCTCGATTAAATCTAACAGTACGCAATATGGATGGCTCTCAGAATGGATGGATAACTGTCAACTTTTCCCCATAAACACATTCTCTAAGTCCTTTCAGATATTCACCAAGAATTTCTACTTCTTTTCTGAAAAGTTCTATGATTATCTAAAAAAATATTTCAAAATATCACCAACGTAAGCATATATATTGTTTAAAGTACTTCATATGCAGTCTCAATTATTCTATTTTAAAAATTAATTTACGGCACATGGATTACAATTACAAAAAATAAAAATACAATACCATAGGATAAAATAAATAAAAAAATGAACGAAATAATTGGACATTACCTCCAGGAGGTGCATTTCCTATTATTTTCCAAAAATCAGCTATTAACTCGTGCCCGTTCGGTGCCTCTTTACCTTCCGGAACTTCCTTTATTGCGCCGTATATCTCAACCGTGCATTCAGTATTCACAGTGAGAGCGTCATACGTCTGGCACTAAAAAAAGTTTAATTAATAAACTCTTTGTTCTACAGGGAATGGTATCATCTATATAATCAATAGCTCATTATTATTTTCTGGTTTTTATCAAAATTTTTCTATCAATCCTAGACCGCATAAAAAATAACTAACCAATTTATCCATGAGTAGTACTTGAAGGAAACCAGTCCCATCTCGAAGGATGAAAAACATCAGTGACTTTCCTAAATACACAAAAACGAACATATTATGAATGTATATGTAATCTTTACAAAAAAAAAAAAAAAAAAAAGAAATATCTCAAACAATAATCTATTTCACTGAACAACCAGTTGTGATAATCAACGAATAATAATTGTAAAATACCTTGTCGACGCATTCTATGAATCCATCCTTTGATGCAAACACGTTCATTACGGTGCTTAACTAGATCACGAATCTTCACACCAGTGATATATGACAGACTCGTGTCCAGTTCTATTTGCACTTTTTTGGCTTCTTCAAGGGCTGCTTTTACTCCCACTTCTGTCGCATCCTTCTCTAACATCTAAAAAATACGAACAACTTATTCAACGCTACTCATTAAATATTTGTTATACGAAGCTATTTTTTAATTCATTTTTCGCTAATAAATTAAAGTAACACCTCGCCTCACCATCTTTTCTAACAAGTAAACTACTCAATTCATATTTTCAAAAAAAAAAAAAAAACAAATCTCACCTTTGCAGCAACTTTTTCATTCTTCAACATTTCTTGCTCGTAATGTTTCCAACTTTTCTTCAATGCCGTCTTTGAAGCAGCTTCCCATATTTGTTTTCCATCTTTCTTTGTCCTTATTAAGAAGTCACCTTTGGAAGACTTAGTAATTATCATTGCCTGATAAAGCGTCCTGCAGTCAATTATCGAAATTTAATTTAACGCAAAAAACTCCAGAAGTTTATACCAATTTATCATAGTCTTCTTAATCTTGCTTCTTCGAAACTTTTCATCTATGAATAACTAGACAAAAGTACCAAAATTACCTTAAAGGTTTCAGCTCGCTACCATCATTACCATCATCTCCAGTTTCTGGACAAATGTAAACAGTCATTACAACAACCTTCTTCAATTAATTACCTTAAAAAATAGCATATTTAAATAACTAATCATTCAAAAGCAATAAAAACAAATGTTTACAGTGTTACGCAATAATTCGAGAAGAAGTGCACATTTCAATGAACTGTCTTAATCATTACAAATCATTTATCAACAGTTCCTCCTTTCTAACAGCTCAGACCGACTTAATTTCTAGCTACCAAAACGTCACATGTAGGTCACATGTAGGTCACATGTACATATCTTCCCTACACAGACCAACCAACATTTGATGTCACTTTTATTGCGGAAAACCACGTTGCATGCTACGCAAATTGCAATCTCTTCAGTACAGGTTGTAACAGTAGTATTGAGTTAGAACAAAATGGTATCAGTTGAATTGTACCAAGAACATACCCTGTAATTAATAATTCATATAAATAATTAATATTATTGATAATATTTCTCTCCACAATAAAGTAATAAGGAGAAAGTCATTCTAGCAAAGTTCGTTATTATTTACTATATCTTTATGAAAAGGATCGGGTAGTGGACATGGATTGTTGTTGTAAAACTTGGCGAGGGCGGTTTTGTATCAGTTTATAAGGTTTATGAAAATTCATCGACATTCTTTCTTGTAATTATTTACTTCACAATCCCTCAAATTACAGCAATTTTACTTTGCAGGAATCAAGGGGAAACGAAATTTATGAAAGCATTAAAAACAGAAAGCTTAAAGGAGAAAGTTAAAGTAAGCTTGTTAGCTTTAAAGAAAGATAAATTTCTGCTAATGTTTACTGTTAACTGTTATTTTTAACTGTTTAACTGTTATTTTTAACTGAACGGAACTGTAGTTTTCTACATTTCTAAGCTTTCAGCACACCATCATATTCAGATTATGTTTGCAAATAGTGGAATTATTCACAATGCACATTATTTTTGATAGGATAATATACTTTGACTTCTCTCTCTTTCTCTCTCTCTTGCTTGTTAACATAAATGATTATAGCTAAAAATGGAAATTTAAGTGCTTAAATTAGCGAATGAACGAAAAAGGACGCATTTCTGTACATATGAAGATAAAGACATCTATAAAAAATGCTTATATTTGGTGGTGACACTACTTGGACCTTGTTTGCAGGTATGTTTATAAAACTACAAGAGATAGCTTTCTGGTTTCCGAGGTATCGGAGATAACAGATATTGATAAAACTTGACTGCAATCTTTCACTTGCAATCATTTCAAAACTATATCTCTGATTTATAAGTGAATATACTGGCAACTATTATCAAAAAACCTAAAAAGTATTACACACCAAGAATAATGCTAATGATTCATCCTATAAACCAAATTCGTTATTCCTTTGTTATATCCCATTTTTTTGAAACAATGAATGCTTTATCTAAACCTCAAATAGTAAATGTACATCTGTCTTCTTTGTTCTTCATTGTAAATGTTAGCCAAACCCACTTCCTACACCCTTAAAAATCTTCTCTAATCAGTTAATAACAAAGAAACGATCGATGGCAGTCTTCTCGTCCTCCTACTCAACAGTACCATTTATTCTGTCATTCTTTCAATTATTCAACTGTATGTTATATCGATTCACATTTATAAAGAAAATAAACGATATCTGGGTTGATCTTGCTCGTAGACAAGAATTCAGTTCAAGTTCTACAAACCTAAAGTAAGTCAAGTGAACATAACTAGATCATCTACTCTTCTGACCAAAAAGTTACTTCACTTTGTTCCCATCTTATGTTTAGGCTGTAAATCTTTCATATATTGTTGACACGGTATCAGCTCCTCATTTAGTTGACACCATTGTTATGTAAATTATGTTGGAATCTACGAGGTTAACAACTTTTGTTTTAAGGGCTTATCAGCTAGTGATTAGATTTGCTTCTAAACCAGGTGGTCAACAGCTCTTTTTCAAACCTATTATTTTTTCGGCAGTTCAACTTATTGTAGATCATATACTTTGTTTGCATATATTGCTTGCTATATAAGGAGAGGTCATTGAGTGGAGCAAAGGATTTCATCGGAAATCAGGAGAATTCAACCGAAGAGACAATTCGATCCCACAAAAAGGGACTTCCACTACTTTTGCTTCAATTTTTCTCAACCAATAATTTATTGCAATACTGCTTCTGTTGATAAAGGAATTATTATATTCCTATTACCCCATATATAACCTCTCTCAAATATAAATTTTTTTAAATCTTCTACGCAAGCATTATAAGTTATTGGCTTCTTCATGGCGACAAATTTCATGAAGGCAGCACTGTTGATGTTGAGTCGTGATAAGTTACGTGGACAGTTAGAGTAGAGCCCATGAGTTTTTTTTTTTTTTTCTATTCGATCAGAAAATGTCTATTGCTGCGATTAGTCAACCAGGTGGAAAGTGGAGGTATGCTTTGATTAGGTCACCTTTTCTAGATCTCTCTCCGTTTCAATTGAGAAATCCGTTCTCAATATTCATTTGCAACAAAGAATGTGTTGAATTGCTCTACATTGATTATGTGTTGAAAATTGCTCTTAATTTTTAATGGAAAATTTTTTCTAATTAAGGAAAAAAATGTACGAACTACATACATTATCAAAATTATTAATTATTGGTAAAGTCTTCTCGACTTGATAGCCAAATACAGATTTGATTGTTGACAGGTAAGTTGTCTACTCTTTATTTCATCCTTTGCTTTGAGAATTGTAAAGGTCTTCCAGTGTGGCATTTACTTTTATAAATAATTGATGTAGCATTAAAATCTAACTTTAACTGTAAAAAGAGTAAAGGTCATCCATTAGGGTACAACTCTTTATTTACGGGTAATCACGCGCTTAAAAGAGGTGGGAAATTGGTTCGCGATCACTGCTCCCTCGAATCTACTTCCTCAATTTTTCTAGTACTGTTCAATAACTTCGATTAATGATAATTTTTATCTCAACCAACTGAAAATCACTCTTAACCATAGGCTAAAAATCCTGCAAAATTTTGCCATATTTCACAACTTAATCATTCAGGACAGATTGTTATGGATTAAGACTGTCACCGAGGAGCTTTCGAACGAGCAAAGCCCTTTACCGCATGCATTTTTGAAAAGAAAAGGGAAAATTTTTTCCAGTGTAAATTATATGCTAAAAGTTTAACCATTTATTGATTGAACATGTTTAAACAGGACAAAGGAATGGCGAAAGCGTTTGCTTTAGCAGAAGAGAAAATTTGTTTAAATATTAAAATTTAAAAGGAAATAGTTTAGAGATATTGTTGAAAAAGTTTGAATTAATAATAATATATGCATATGTGAAAGTGCAGCATAATGCGTTTGTTGAAATTGCAAATTATTGGTTACAATTTTTTTTGTTGTTGTTGCAGATTCCAGTTCTATCCAATAAATAAAGTTTAGAATTTTTTTTAATCCTGAATTGTGAATGGTTTCATTCTTTTTTCATCAATCATTATGATTATTTTTGATTTCTTTCAAATATTCTAAATGTATCGAAAATATGTGCAATGTCGAAAATAGGAAAAAAGCATGGAAATTCGTTTTTTTTACGTCTGCGATAGCTCTTTTTACGTTTGATGTCTTCACGTTAAGATTTTTTAACTCGAAATATTTGAGAAATTTATTTTGTAGGCATCCATATATATAAAGTCGTATGACAAAGATATGTGACCAACTGTGAAAAAAAAAGTGAAGTAAAATTGTGTTATTCAGAACCTTTTTATTAGCTCCACTACAGAATTTGAATTTTTAATATTTATCGAGAAATATTTTTTTGACATTTCATTAACAACTCCTATAAACTAGCTTCAATAATTATTTTTTCTCTGCTAATTTAATTTTTCTTTCATTTTATTCCAATAAGTTATGATTAATCTGATGAATGTTTTTATTGTGTAATCGCACCACTGAATGCATTAATTTGTTATATTTGTTACAGTCAAATTCGGATATTTCGATATTTCATAATAATTCAAATAATAATAAAATGAATAGTCGAATTGTTCTTTTTTTTCACATTGCAGCAAGTGATTCAAGATATAAATTACAATTTTCTTTTGGATTTATCGAAATACGCATATATCCTTTTTCGCCCCAATCGGTGCCCCAACTGAAAATTAATTATTATCAATTTATTCATTAGTTTAATTTTTTCATTGATTTAAAAAAAAAATTGCAGCATATTTGATAATGAACTATCCAACATTTACAATGCAATTAGCTTTTTTTTCTTTTTTTTGTGCAAGTTTCTATAATAATATCAGCGATATATAATTTATTAGTTTGTGATTAGATTAATTCTATTGGCGAATAATATAATAACCGTATAAATGGATCATTCAATAGGAATAATACAAAAATTTAACAAATGCAGTGTATTTTGGGTCATGGAATTTCAATTTTTGATCGATTAATATGTTTAAACATGCAACGAGAAATTATTAAATTTTTGTCTTGAATAAAATCAGGTAGCGCAATAAATTGTTTGAAATTTTATTGAAAAATATAAAAGAGGAAAGATTTGCCTGTTTTTAATTAAAACATAAGTATCTGTAAATCCAACCGCTAAAACTGTATGAGAGTAAGCATTTGGTTGGCAATTATGTCGAAATATTCCTTCAAAATTTAAATTTTAATAAACATTTATAATTCAAATTTGTTAATTATAATGGGAAGCGAATATGAATTAAGTTAAATACATAATTATGAATTCACTTTGCTATCCTTATAATTTATACAAAAGATTCCTTTAAAAACTTTATTTTTTTCATATCTCTAATTTATTGATTCTTCTTTTTTCTTCTCACTTTCATCCATTTATTCATCTATCTATATTCTGTTACTTCTCTTTTTTAAACTTTAAAATTAATGAAATGAATTTTCCAACCTTCTTTATAATTTATGAAATTTGGCGTCACTAAAACCCTTGTAGCAACCGGTCCTTTTGATAGCAACGCTTTGAACAACGTCTGATGACCCTGACGCGCATGTAGCATATTACTAACCTTTCCATGTCTTTGACCTTTGACCAAGCATGTTTTCTCCGCCCTCACATATGGATAATTGTTCTCACACACCAATCCCCTCTTTTCCATGAGATATATGGAATACTAAAGAACTAACATTAAAATTGGAGCACTTAATATTAATAATTAATATTGATAATTAATTAAGAACACTAAATTACAATAATTATTGCAATTTAGTTTTCTTAACCAATTTTGAACTATTTCTATTATTTTTTGTTTTATATTGTTTTTAAGTTTTGTTAATTTTTGTGTGTCAGTGGGGAGTTTATATTATTTGATGGGAAGTTTTTGCTGTTCATATTCTTATTTTTATTTATTTATTTTCTTTTTTTGACTATTGGTGATGATGGGACTTATTGTTTAATTAATTAATTATTTGATTCAAGAAGTTATCATTAATTATTGTTGTTTATTACTAATCATTAATTCTTGTTTATTCATTACCACTATATTATGATAAAAATTATTTGTTCCCGTTACATTTAATTTTATATATATTTTGTTAAATAAGTATGTTATATATATATATATATATATATATATATATATATATATATATGTATGTATATGTATATTTAGTTATTAGCATTCTAAAGCAGTATACCACCTTGTCAAAATCTCCATATGATCGGCATCCGGAACCGCTACAGTCCAATAATTCTTGAATGGAAAGTTTGCGCAATTTTTTGGTTTGTGATTTAGCTAGCGCTTCTACGACATCTGCTACTGCACTAGCTGAACTAGCACCAGGGCAAAACCGCTTTAATTCGAACGCGATTTTCAATAATAATAAAATAAAAATTTGAAAAATATCAAAATTATTGGTAAAATTAGTTTTCTCAACGAATTTTTATTTCTTAATTTTTTAAATTGATTTTTGACAATATTTCAATTTTTTATTTTCTTCTTTTTCTTTTTTCCTCCTTCTACCTCTCTCCCTCTATCATTCTCTGAAATCTTTACTGTATTTTTTTTTTTTTTTTTTGACATTAAAAGCAATAAAAGAAAAATCTTTCTTTTAAATTACATTAAAAATCAAGTATTAAAAACAAATTTTTTTTCAACTTGCAATTTTCACTGTAAGTATAATGAATTAATAAGAAAAAGCCACAGAAAGAATAAATTACCCGACCCGATCGATTTTGAGATTTCTAACTGCGGTGACATATTTATTAGTTACCCAATTAACAGCTTTCACTAAATGAGTTAAATTTTGCGGAATATGGCTATCATCCGTATCATTAAATTTGATCACCGGAAATTCGTCCTGCATATCTTCCTCTGCCTGTAATTAATTCATTAATCTACTGCAATTACTTTTCTTAATGTTATTTACCATAATTTATACCACTTGTAATTAAAATTCTTTTTTCATATTTTAAGGAATGGAAATTTTCATCTTACCATATCACTCATTACAGTTAAGCCAAGCATAAACGATGATTTGCCTTGTTTATACAACTCATTATGCTTTTGAATTTCTTCCACATTTTTAGCATAAGCCAACAAGCGATGTGGTTCCGGTCGATTATCCTTAACTCCTTGTTCTACAACGAAAGCGGAAATTGGAAATAAGTTTTGAATTTTTTGGATAAATCTAAAATAATGCGTGGTTTTGCTGGAAATTACGTAAAGCGCTGTTTGGCAGCTGACACGTAGCCATTTCAAATATAATTAATCAAATTATAATAAAAATTAATGCGTGAAATTTGCACGATAATTAATAAATTTAAATATATAATATCATTTAAGCGGTCAGGAAAACTATCTGCAGTCGATTCAACTTATTCAATTCATATTTTAATTAAAGTGATAATGCTTCGGATTAACGATTCTGAAAATTACAAATGAGATGAGTGAAGTAAATTAAACCAGTCGAATAAAAATAAGAAATATTAAGAAAACCGCTAATGAAATTTTTAATTACTTACTGTATTCTGTTACAAATTTCACATAATCATCATAATGTTTCGAATACAATGCACGTAACTTTGAGTGACTTAATGCTTTGAATTGCCTGCAAAATAAATGTCACTAGAAGATTGCAAACTGTGAAATTTATCAAACCAAGTATTAAATGGCTGAAGCTGACCAGAAAAAATTTTTCAATGAAAATTTTAGTGTAGCAAATTGAATACAAAAAGCTATTTTTAATTTTAATATTAACAATTCAGATTTTAATAATTTGTTAAAATAATAATTTAAGAAAAAAAAAAAGAAAAAAAAAAAAACATACTGATAAATTAGACTGCTACAGCTTAAGATGGAAATTTGTAAAAATGAAAGGAATAGAAAAGCTTTTAGCGGTGATAGAAGATAATGTCTCATTTTGCAATATGCAAAGCCCAAAAAGTCCTTTGAAGTTGCCAACTTCTGTTGATTTTTGGTTGGAAAACAATTCCTGTTGACACTTCTGTCTGTAATTGATAAGGTATTATTTAACCCAAAAATTTCTTATCACTTAATTTGAGATCTGACTGTTTCCTATTTCCTGCAAAACAAAAGTAACTAATTAACAATATTTTTTATACATTTAGAGACCATAAATCATCACAAAAATTTTCTAATCATAAAATTTGCTTCTAACGATGAATAATACAAAAACTGATTTGATCCATTCTTCAATTAACAATTCCATTAGGGAATTTTAATTTGAAAGAAACGAAAAAAGAAGTATAAGCAAAATTATATTTGACAATAAATTATATTTCAAAAATTCCCTTAGCCAAGCTCATGCATGAAAAACCAAATCTGGTTATCCTAAATTTTTGCATCTCTTATTTTTGAATTTCCAAAAATGTTCAACATTTCCCATTTCTGAAATAAGTTAGTTTAAAAATCGCTACATGAATATATAAAATTTTTAAAAAAGAATTTTTTAACAATTGTTGATTACTAAAAATATATTTACATCACTGCAGAAATTCAAAATTGAAATGAATACCCTAATCAGTCAAACAACGAAAAACTACAGTACACCACAAATATTGGTATTATTGTGCAACAGAAATTGTAAACAATTTGGGACAAATTATACAAAAGGAAAAAAAAAGTTATTTATAAGAAAACTGAGCAAAGTTATGCAAAGAATATATCAAAAATATTTTTAACATCAAAGATTAGCAAATGATAATTACTTAAAAATTGCTTTTATCAATAATTTGACATTAATGCTACACCAAACGACAATTTCTGCTGGTCGAACCTTGAAGGAAGAAAAAAATTTTTACCGATTGTTAACTAACTTGATGAAGGCGTTTTTTATTCTACATTTAGCCAGTTTTCTCTTGCTTACTTATGCAAATCCACTTAATGAACTGTAAGTCCTTAATTTTGGAATAGAATAAAATTTAAGAAGTTAAAAAAAATGCTAAAATTGCTAATATAAATGAAATGCAAAGTGAGGTATACGAATTGAATTAAAAAATTTTCATTAATGTTTCTGCCTTCTTCTTGCAATCTTTATAAATTCTTTTTTTCGGTCTTCTGGTTTCATTCTCAGAAAATTTTTAAATTTAATGAATTCGAATATTATTTCAAATATCTCAAATTCTTACTGCAGGGATAATGATGACACACCAGGTAAAATTCATACCTTGTATCAGCAGCATTATTCGAAGTATAAAACATATCTGAAAAAAATGGGTAAGTTAATTGGTTTTTTTTTCATTTCTTTCATTTTCAATTCATTTTTCATTCTAAAAAAAAAACAAAAAAAACAAAATGGTATGAAAGTGTTAACTTAAAAAGAAACTTCAAATTTTAGCTAACCTGAAAAAAAGCTGAAGCTTCTTTATCAATCAGGATTTCTCATACATTTTATTATCTTCTACAGGCAAAAAACATGATCCATCTGTTCCGGAACCAATTCGATTACTTAAATTTGTACAATCTTTGAAAATGATTGATGAACATAACCAGCGTTACAGTAAAGGATTGGAAACATACAAAGTAGATCTGAACGAAATGAGCGATTGGGTGGGTCATAACTGAAGAAAAAATTGGAAAATTCGGATCAAGCATATAATAATAATAGTAATAATAATAACAATAATAATAGCAATAATAATAACAATAATGATAATAATATTAATATTAATAATAATAAAACCGCTATGCATTACATTTCATTGTTTCTTTTCCTTTCCTTTCGTTTTTAATTTCATACCTTTTCCTATTCTAATTTCGATTTATTTCTTGCTTTTTATTTGTTGTTTCTATTCAGACCGAAGAAGAGAAAGAAAGACTTCACGGATATTATCCAAATTTGACTGCAAAAGTGGAAGGAAATATGAGTAAAATAATTGGAAAAAAATTATCCAGTTCTGTACCAAATTCTATTGATTACAGAAAGAAAATAGCTGCACTACCAGTAAAAAATCAAGTAAGTTTTTTCACTAATTTAAATCAATTTTTTCTTTCAATTTTCATTAACCTTCTTGTTTTTAATTCTTATTTTTGTCGTTATGTGCACAGAGTGTTAATGTATTATTATTTATTGTGAAATATTGTCATTTATTTATTGTTGTTTTTATTTATTTATTTATTTATTATTATTATTATTATTATTGTGAAATGAAATCAATTTTAGGGTGGTTGTGGTGTGTGTTTTATTTTCTCAGCATTAGGAGCTGTTGAAATGTATGTGGCGCTCAGGACTAAAAAACCGCCGGTAAAACTATCAGTACAGGATGTAATGGATTGTAGTGGAATGGAAAAATGCAAAGGAAGAGGCGGAAATGAACCTGCGGTATGCGGAAATTTGTTATTTTATTATTAATTAGTTAATTATTATCCATAAAATATAAATATAAGTAAAAAATGATATAATTAATAGCAAAAATGATTTTTAGGTTTTTCGTTGGGTTGCTGAGCACGGTGTAAAAACCGATAAAAGTTACCCATATAAGGAGGCTGATAGTATTTCATGCCCGAGAACGACATCGGGACGATTAAAGTATAGATTAGCTGGCGCTATTTATTTACCTTTTGACAATGAAGAAGTTCTTAGAAAGGTATTGGCGTTCTATGGACCAGTTAGTGTATCATTACATGCTTCATCGCCAAGCTTTAGAGCTTATCGAAGTGGTAAGTAATTTGTAGAAAAACTTATTTAAAAAAAACTGATCATATAGATAATTGATAAGTAGTTTTGAAATTGATAGACTTTTTTTTTTTTTATTTTTTAATAATTCTAGTATTAAAAAATTTTCGGTATTTATAATGATCCAAATTGCCCATCTGATGAGGACTATGTAAATCATGCGGTCTTGGCTGTTGGTTATGGTGTCGAAAATGGAATGAAATATTTTATCATCAGAAATAGGTATATCAAATTTTAATTAATTTCCAGTCACGAGATTTTTTTAATTCTCTTTATGAAAAGATGTTATTAATGAACTAATGGAAAATAATGAAATTTTGATTAATTTAAAATAGCATAGGTGATAAGGTTGAAAAGTTGAAATGAGTCGTTGTTATTGTTCGAGATAGATTATTGAAATAATTGAATTTATTTGCTAACCTATTATCATTAATTTTATAGCTGGGGTCCTACATGGGGCGAAAAAGGATACGGTCGTATTCGCGCTGGGGTATTTATGTGCGGTATTGGTCATTCTTCGAATGTACCAGTTTTCATATAAGACAACAATATGAAATTGAACAAATATTTTGTCATTTTTATCTACCACTCATATGCTGCGAAAATTATATGCTTGAATAGCAAGTTTGTCAGAAAGTTTTGCTACTTATCCTTAAATGTTACTAATCTCATTTCAATCATCATTTGTGAAAAGATTTAATGATATGCTTTTGTTATTGCCATAACAATACAACGTCGATAATATCTTTATTGATTTTTGTAAGATATCTTCTAATTGCAATAAAATTATATCAAAAATTCATTCGAATGCTCAATTATCATGTTTTTACAATGTCCGAATCGAAATCGAATCTGTCGAAAAAAAAAAAAAAAAAACTATTGAATAATTCAACAAGAGAATGAAACCAGAAGACCGAAAAAAAGAATTTATAAATTGCGAAAATTTTTTGATTCAATTCGTTGGCTATATACCTCACTTTGCATTTCATATTATATTAGTAATTTTAGCATTTTTTTTTTAACTTCTTAAATTTTATTCTATTCTAAAATTAAGACGAAATAGGACTTACAGTTCATTAAGTGGATTTGCATAAGTAAGCAAGAGAAAACTGGCGTAGAATAAATGTAGAATAAAAAACGCCTTCATTAAGTTAGTGAACAATCGATAAAAATTTTTTTCTTTTTTCAAAGTTCGACCAGCAGAAATTGTCGTTTGGTGTAGCATTAATGTTAAATTCCCATTAAATATTTAATGGAATATATCAAAATTAGTAAATCAAACCCCTCCACACTGTATCTCTCACTTCTTTGATATGAACTTCATCTCCAGGTCAGTTCCGTGTAACCTTTGTTTTGCTGACCGAACGAACGTTTTAAGGAAATTAATGGTAAATGAGAAAAAAGATGCAATTAATAAAATACAAAAAAACTTACTGCATGGATGCTGGCAGTAAAAAAGGTATGGAATTAGTAGAAACAATCGAAAATATATGTATGCTACTGCACAATTAAAATCTTTCAATGGCGTTGCAATTTAGCTCTTGTTGAATTGTGCAACGGAATATTTCACGATTGATTAATCCTATTGTATTTACGTGTGAATTACGTGTAAAAGAAGTATAACCGTACACACTTACATTTTCAGCTAGCTGTTTGACCCTATTAAGCTAGCTGAAAGTATTTGACCCTACTAACATTCCTAATATTCCTTGACCCTATTACAGTTAATGACCTTTTTTTTGGCTTATCTTTACATCATTGTAAGGTATTCTTGGAGTGCTATTATACAAGTTCATATAACAGCGATAAAATAAAAGCGAAAATAAACTGAGTCAGAAAATAAAAAACTGGAGGACTCCTATTTAAAACTTGATAATGAATGTAAAAATTGATAAAAATAAAGGAAATAATTACATTACTCTTGTAATTTATTGACAAAACTCTTGCATGAAAAATCAAATTTGGTTAATTTAAATTTCTACTTCTTACAAAATTCGCTTTTAAAAATGTCCCGCTTTTCTCTTCTCTTGATAACGAATAATTATTGTAAACCGCATCACTTTTCTTCGTTATCACTAAAAAAAAGATTATGCAAATTCATGTGATAGGTTGATTCAAAAATTGCAATGCAGAAATATCAGTAATATTTTTATGCTAAAAAAAGAACTTAGCAATTGTTGATTACTAAAAATATATTTACATCACTGCAGAAATTCAAAATTGAAATGAATACCCTTATCAGTCAAACAACGAAAAACTACAGTACACCACAAATATTGGTATTATTGTGCAACAGAAATTGTAAACAATTTGGGACAAATTATACAAAAGGGAAAAAAAAGTTATTTATAAGAAAACTGAGCAAAGTTATGCAAAGAATATATCAAAAATATTTTTAACATCAAAGATTAGCAAATGATAATTACTTAAAAATTGCTTTTATCAATAATTTGACATTAATGCTACACCAAACGACAATTTCTGCTGGTCGAACCTTGAAGGAAGAAAAAAATTTTTACCGATTGTTAACTAACTTGATGAAGGCGTTTTTTATTCTACATTTAGCCAGTTTTCTCTTGCTTACTTATGCAAATCCACTTAATGAACTGTAAGTCCTATTTCGTCTTAATTTTAGAATAGAATAAAATTTAAGTTAAAAAAAAAAATGCTAAAACTGCTAATATAATATGAAATTTGAGGCAAAGGCAAACAGGCAAAGCATACAGTCGTAATGATTACATCACTGATCCAACTGAATTAAAAAAAAAATTATGTCATATGCTATTGTTTTCTTTCTGCAATCTTTATAATTTCTTTTTTCTTGGCTTTTTTGTTCTTATTTTTAAAATATTTCAAATCACTAATTTGCAGGGACCATGATGAGTTGTCAGGTAAAATTCATACCTTGTATCAGCAGCATTATTCGAAGTATAAAACATATCTGAAAAAAATGGGTAAGTTAATTGGTTTTTTTTTCATTTCTTTCATTTTCAATTCATTTTTCATTCTAAAAAAAAAAAACAAAAAAAACAAAATGGTATGAAAGTGTTAACTTAAAAAGAAACTTCAAATTTTAGCTAACCTGAAAAAAAGCTGAAGCTTCTTTATCAATCAGGATTTCTCATACATTTTATTATCTTCTACAGGCAAAAAACATGATCCATCTGTTCCGGAACCAATTCGATTACTTAAATTTGTACAATCTTTGAAAATGATTGATGAACATAACCAGCGTTACAGTAAAGGATTGGAAACATACAAAGTAGATCTGAACGAAATGAGCGATTGGGTGGGTCATAACTGAAGAAAAAATTGGAAAATTCGGATCAAGCATATAATAATAATAACAATAATAATAGTAATAGTAATAACAATAATAATAGCAATAATAATAACAATAATGATAATAATATTAATATTAATAATAATAAAACCGCTATGCATTACATTTCATTGTTTCTTTTCCTTTCCTTTCGTTTTTAATTTCATACCTTTTCCTATTCTAATTTCGATTTATTTCTTGCTTTTTATTTCTTGTTTCTATTCAGACGGAAGAAGAGAAAGAAAGACTTCACGGATATTATCCAGATTTGACTGCAAAAGTGGAAGGAAATTTGACTAAAATAATCCGTGGAAATACGTCAATACCAGCTTCGCGTGATTACACAAAAGAAATAGCTGCACTACCGGTACGACGTCAAGTGAGTGAATATTTTTTTCCTTTCTTTATTTCAACAGTTCCAACTTAAATAATTGTCTTTTTCTTTCATTTTTTCTTATTCCTTTTCATTTCTTTGTTGTGTCCATGAAACAATAATTTATATATTATATAAATTGAAATTAATCAAATTTTAGGGTCGTTGCGGCGCGTGTTTTATTTTCTCAGCATTAGGAGCGCTTGAAATGTATGTGGCGCTCAGGACTAAAAAAGCTCCCATAGAACTATCAGTACAGGATGTAATGGATTGTAGTGGAGTGTCCAAATGTAAAGGAATAGGCGGAAATGGACCTGCGGTATGTGAAAATTTGTTATTTTATTATTAATTAATTAATTATCCATGAATTATAAATATAAGTGAAAAATGACATAATTAATAGCAAAAATGATTTTTAGGTTTTTCGTTGGATTGCTAAGAATGGTGTAAAGAAAGAAAAAGATTATCCATATAAAGAGAATGATTCTTCTTGCCCAAAGAAGAAGACTGGACGAGAAAAGTATGGATTAGTTGATGCCGTTTATTTGCCGCCTAACAAAGAAGAAATTCTCAAGAGGGTATTGGCATTGTATGGACCAATTAGTGTATCATTGTATTCGTCATCACCAAGTTTTGTCGCTTATCGAAGTGGTAAGTAATTTATAGGAAAGATGAAAAAAAAAAAAAAAATGGTAAGAAATTTTGAAAGTGATAATTTGAATCAATTTGATAATTTTAATATTAAAAAATTTTCCGGTATTTATAATGATCCAAAATGTCCAACTGATGCAAAAAAAGTAAATCATGCTGTAGTAGCAGTTGGTTATGGTGTCGAAAATAATACGGAATATTTTATCATCAGAAATAGGTATGACAAATTTTAGCAAAATTTTTAGGACTGAGGATTTTGTTTTCTTTTTTCTTTTCTTTGAATATATTCCAATAATGAAAAATAATAATGATCTTATCGTGTGTCAAAAACACATATAAATAATAATGAAAATTTTGATTAATATAAAAGCAAAAGGTTTTTAAAAAAAAAAAGGTAAAAATGGAAATTAGGAAGATAAATGGGAATGACGATAATAAAAGAAGAATTCATACTATTATGTGTCTTAATTACTCAAGACAGATAAATTCAAATAACTTTTTGTTGTATCAAAAGCTATATTTAATTTAATTTAATTTATTTGCTAACTATTATTACTAATTTTATAGTTGGGGCCCTACATGGGGTCAAAAAGGATACGGTCGTATTCGCGCTGGGGTATTTATGTGCGGTATTGGTCGTTTTTCGAACGTACCAATCTTCAAATGAGAGAATAATGTGAAATTTTGCTGTCGATAGTTTTTTTTTTTGATAGTATTATTAGAAGTGAAATAATTCATAATTCTTATCTGTTATCAATTAATAGTTGCATAAATTGTGTATTTAAATGAATATTTGTCTCAAAATTTCTTTTTTTTTATTTTAATCATCATTGCATGCTATTCTACAAATACTATTTCATAAGATTGTATAAATAATCAATACGATAAAATAGTGAAAAGAAAACGATTTACACAATAAATAAATAAAATTTTTAAATAAATTCTAATGAAAAATAATTTATTTATGTTCGAAAAATTTCTATTTTATAAAGTTTTATTAGTTAAGAATTAATTTTCTGTAAGTCATAGCACTTTCTTCTGCTGAAATTTCATTGTTATAAATAGTTCCACGTTTATCCGTTCTATTTGACACCTGCAACTACTTATTAAATTGCAACAATATGTTTTTTAGTGGAAATAAAATTTTAATTACTTTTGGAAATGGAAATATGGTTGCAATACACAACAGAGGTCATAAAATGAAGTTTAATATATAGTAGTTTGTGTATTGAGTAGGTTTAGTTTACTGATGTTGCGTGTGGTTGCTTTGTGGTTCTTTGGTTTTCTTATTGGTACCGGTTTCCCGAATTAAGGATCGTCATGTTTTTCCAAATTTATATATGTATACACATAAATATATAATTCTACTATAATCCTTTGTCTTCTTGTTCAGTTTGTTAACAAACGTAATTTTGTTATAGTAAGTGGAAGCGATGAGTATATATTAAGGAATCATTCGATTCTCTTGAGGCTACCTATTTATTTCGGTTGCTCATTCCAAAAGAAGCATTGTTGCTTGTTTTAACTATTTTGATATAATATTTTTTTACGCACTTGCTTATTTCATGTATCTTAACTTTTTTTTAAAACTTGTTCATAATTTGTCCTGCATCTTGAATTTTTTTACATCAGATTTTGATAATTTCTGTTGTGATTATTAATATTAACGATAAGCAATTTGCATTGAAGATTTCATATACTTTGTGATTTTGATATGCTTCATGTGTAATATTACTGCGCGTAAATATTATTTTTGATAATAATCTATAACCGTTCTATCCTAAATTTCATCAGTCTTCTATGTTTTGAATTTTTAGGAAAAATTGGAAAATGAAGTTGGAAACTTGTGTATATTCAGGATATAAGATTTATCCAGGACATGGGAAAAGGATGGTTCGTGCTGATGGAAAGGTAAGTAGTGTATTTGGATTCTGTAAATGAATGATAGGAAGATATCAGCAATTTGTACTTCAGTAGCTTGTTGTCATTTTCTTCGGGCTATTGGTATTTTCCCCATTTCTTGCATTATTTGTATGCATCATTCTATCGATAATATATGTAAATTGTGCTTGAAATTAGTTCGTCTGGAATTAGGTATCAGTTTATTTATTATTTGGTTTTTATAAATGTTTCGATATTATTGGTTTTTTTTTGTTCTTATTTTTGAAAATATTATATAAGCTGAAGAAACATAATATCATGAAAATAAAAATGTGATATGCGAGGGAGTTGAATCAGCAATATGTAAGCATATGATAAATGATTGCGATAAGTCGGTTGTGAATATCATTAACTGCAGTGAGGAAGATTTGGCGGAAGTAGTAAGCAAAGGAAGGAATTGGATTATTTAGAATAAACAACGATAATATTTTCACAGTTTTTTTTTTTTTTTTGTAGAAAGTCTCAACATTTTCTATTCATTCTGTCATCCTTTCTTACTCTTGAATCTTGTAGTTCATAAAGCAATATGAGGTGTTATGTCTTCATTGATTATATTTAATTATTTCAGTTGTGTTTTTTGCTGTTGCAGGTGCAAATATTTTTGAATAAAAAGTGCCTACGATCGTACAAATTGAAGCGAAATCCTCGTGACATACCGTGGACAGTGTTGTATCGCCGTAAACACAAAAAGGTTTGTTATATAATTGAATTAATAAGATATATGAAAGAATATATTAGGTGATTGCAGCATTAGCTAAAGTTGCTTAGTTTTTCGGGTCAAATTGTTTTTTGCAATTTGCATATCAAAGATTACTCAAAATTTTCTGGTAAGATGCTGCTGATGTAACTGAAATTTTAACATGCTGGTGCTATATTAAGCCACTATGCTAATTTTTGATTCGTATTGATTTTACTGATTAGTGTTTTCCTTGGACTTGGCTAAAACTTTTCTTCCGTATTGTCCCATCCAGTAAGTGTTTAGATTGGAACATCGAGAGATGTTAGATTAATACTGGCGTTGGATTTTATGAACAATGTTGTTTGAAGGGTGTTCATGGTGAAGAAAATGCACAAAAGAAACGTACACGACGCGTTATACAAATTGCGTCTCGAGCAGTTGGCAATGTTTCACTGGAAGCTATACTTGCAAAACGAAATCAGAAACCAGAATTTCGACGTGAACAACGTGAACAAGCAATAAAAGCTGCGAAAGAAGCTGCGCGAGCTTCAAAGAGCGAGAAGAAAGCAGCAAATAAGGCATTGAAGGTAGAGGCATATAAATGCTTTTACATTCCTAAATATCATTTTTGAAGATTTTATTGACTAAGAGTGGAAATATCATTCATCACTAGGCTACATGTTCAATAGTAATGTTTTTACGGAAACAGTTGAAATTTATTTGTTTCCAAAAAAAGATCGCTTTATACACCAAAGCTGAATTTTAGGAGAAGAAGGCTGCTCCACAGAAGATGAAGATACCAAAACCGACGAAAACCCAGCAACCACGAGTTGGTGGCAAACGCTGATTTCGAATCCTTTCAATCGCTTTTTGTTATTTAATCGTATAAAAATAATTTTGTTATTGTTTGACAGCATTCTTACAGTAATATGAAAGAATCCTCATTTAATTAGTCTATGCGTGTATTGTGGTTTAATTCTATTTCACAAATTGTTTTACAGAATTCGTATATCTTCTTTATCAGTAGCAACAAATGCCTGTTCATCACATCATAGAGTACAACCTTACGTAAAATTATCTTAAGGACAATTTTTAACAAAATCCAAATTTGCATTTTTATTTTCATTTGCAAGGAATTATAAAAGGAAGCTGTTTACTTAATCCATGTCATTCTTATGCTGTTTATCTTGCCGTTTTGGTATCCATCAAAATGCCGGCTGATGGTTCAAGGCCAAAAATTACCGATATGCCAGTCGTACTAGAACCGCCATTTCCTACGTTTACGCCACGTCCGCTAAAAGAAAATTTGAACAAACAAACAGCAAATTTAATCCTCGTCAATACATCACCTCACAAACTTATTTTTAAAATTGTTCCAAATTCCACAGATATCAACTATTTGATTCAACCAGAAATTGATTATTTGGCACCAAATGGTTGCCGTCTTATTGGTATTTCAATAAATGATACACCAAAACCAAAAAAGGTTCTTCCCTTTGTTTGTCTGAAACATTTTTATACATTCGCTAATTTAATGAAAATTTATTTTATTTCGTTTTCTAAAAGTAAATATATAATAACATTTAATTTAATCAACAGAAAATTATGTAATAAAATTTATCAAATCGAAAAAAAAAAAAGCAGAGCTATTTTGTATTCTAAAATTTTCATCATTCAGGAACATGATTTCACATATAAAGTCTTAGCATTAAATCCCACTGAAAGTTTCGGATTATCAGCTATACAGTACTGGGAGCAGAATCAACCAGAAAATAACGGTTAGCTTGCCGGAATGTACATCATTGTTAATTTTTCGATTAATATTTTTTATATGAAAAAAAAAAAGTTGTTAGAAATATATTTCAATTATATATATTTAGATAATAGGATTATTTGTCATTGATCTAATTTTCATTTTATCTTTTTTCTTTTCTTTTCTCTTCTGAATTTCTTTATAAATAAAATTCAATTTATAGCTCATCTACTTCAAGAAGCTCAATTTGTATGTTTGGAGCCAGAAATGGAATCACCGCATCGTAAACAGCAGCATCGCATTGATAATGACATGAAAGTTTCATTATCGACTGAATATGCTAAACGAATTCGACGACATACTGCTCTTCTTGATCATTCTCGAACTTCAAATGATTCAGAGTCAAATTCACCAGTATATTATAAGTTAGCAGTACTATAATTTATCTAAGCGATATTAATATTTTTTTAAACACTATTTTCTTTTTTTTTTTTTTTTTTTAATGCTTATTTCATCTATAAATAGTTAAAGTGAAATAATTAGTTAATTTCAATTTTAGGAAGCAATTAGTGCCAAAAGATATTGATGCTGAAATTGTAACAGATTCGAAAAATGACTATCATTGTCAATGTACAAATTCTAATCATTATTTTTGGCAAGAAGCTGCTACAATGCGTAGCTTTTTTTATGGATTTATATTCGCTTTCATTTGTTCAGCAATATTAGTTATCCGAAAAAACAGATAACTAAATAAAATTGTCCATTTCAAATGAAATGAAATAAAAACATTAATTGATTAATTGATATGATATCAGGATGTTTCTTCTTTTTTAAATAAAGCAATACTCTGATTTGATTAATGTAATATTTTGTATTTTTATATTCGCAGAAATAAATGTTTAGAAATGAAATTCAAATTACAAATATTTCCATTATCAATAAAAATTTCATTAACTTTTTTATACTTAACAAAATTTGATGAAAAATGAGCAACTGATTGAAAAGTAAATTAACAATAATTACTTTTAATAATTATGTTTAATGATTAATATTGATAAATAATTAGAATTATGTGAGAGATTAATAAATGATTTTAAATTTATTTGATAATATGAAATTATTTACAATTATTGATGGTTAAGTAAATGCAAACGAGAAATGTTAACGAACTAAATTCTTCTTGTGCATACGCATACTCAGATGAAACTTACAACTTAATTAGCAAAATATTTATGAATTAATTAGTCATAAGTTTAACAAAATATTTTTCATATAAATTTAATCATTTAATTCAATCAAAATTCACTTCAAAAAATGGAAAGTAACTTTTGAGTTCAATGCTAAAATCCAATTATTTTATCGATTAACAAATTTTTAAAATTGAATACGCCAATAAATCCAAAGGGGACTACTTATGAAAAATGAAGCATTGTGAATAAATCATAAATCGTGAAGTCAAAAAAGTCCCAGAAGTCCAAAAGTGACTTAATGAATAATTCTAACTTCTCATGCATGTATTGAAAGTGATTTATAACAAGCATATTTTAATAAAATATTATTGACAATAAAGATAAGCCATGTAAAAGGCGAAGAAAATACTTATAATTAAAAAAAAAAAAAAGGCTTAAATTTAATCATTGAATATAAAATAAGTTATTAAACTATAAGTGTTTACATATATAATTTAATTCGAAATATTTTAAATCAATGAAGATAGACCTGATTTAACGGAAATAAAAAAAAAATGATTCATTACAATAAACATCGAAATATTTCTATGTGATAAATACATTTGACTAAATAAAACAATTTTTGTGATACAAATTTTCAAATCATATATTTACATCGTTACTATGTGTTATTTCTGGAATGCAAAATACTATGATTATTTAATAAAAATATTCTGGTTCTACGAATAGACTAAATATTTTAGAATTTTTGCTTCATTTTTTAAAATTTTCTACAGTTCACAATTATGTATATTTTCTATGCAAAGTTATTTGTTTCAGTATTAGCATATAAGAATAAATACTAGCAGTTAATCAACAAATTGTTAGCATTTAAGAATAATTAATCACAATCATAAAATTTAAACAAAGAAAGAGAGAATGTGTTTACGGTAGAAACAAATGATTGATTGGAACAAAGAGGTATAAATATTATTGGGGACAGTATATGAGGAATTTACAGTATATATAATAAACATGGTTGGAAGAACAAAGAGTTTAATGTACAATTTATTATTTTCGAAAGTTTCATCGATACTTTTTCATTTATACTTTTATTTGTTAAAATTTGACGTTATTAAAAATGTGTGACATTCTCGATGACAGATTTGAATTATTCTTCATTTCTTGTTGAAGTTTCTTTTAGCTTATAGCATTCTTTATTTTATCTTTTAACGTAGGATAAGTTTACTACACGTAAATATGTATTTTACGTAAATGTATACTTTGCACATTTACATTGTTATTTTTGAGACGTAATAAAACTGAGATCATGTTTGTTGACGAGAAAGTTTTAAAATAATTCAAATCATTGATGACTGAATGTGAATAGGAAATTGAAAGCTAATTGTTTACTTATATTGGATGGATAATAAATGTAGCAATTTCTTCATTGCAAAAAAAAAAAAAAAAAGAAATCAAATAAATTTTTATTGAAATAAAGATAATATTGATAATTTCTACCTCCTTTTTAAATATAATTTACCAAAAGAATTTTATAACATAAACTAAATTTGATATAGAAAGATCAAAGGTTATATGATTTAATCTGATTGAGTACAAAATGATAGCTTTGCAAAAAGGATCAGATTAAATGGGTAAACAAAAAAAATTGGTCAGTGTAAGTAAGAAATATAAAATTAAAAATTAATAAGTTAGGCAATATTACTAATCTTCATTTACATTTTTATAGAGATAATTAATCATTAGGAAATTTTACAGATTTTTTTTTTTTGTCATTTTAATACATATTTGATTGTTTTTCATTTATATAATTATTCTCTATCCTAACTCAAAAAAAAAGCAAAAAAAAAAAAAAAAAAAAAGGAGAAAAAGCGAGGAAATCCGTAGCTATTATTAAGAGTTTTTAGAAATTAAATGCATTTTGTTCTCGAGATATTAAAAAAAAAATTTTCTCGAGATATTAAAAAGAAAAAAAAAATTTTCTAAATTTCAAGCTTTTATTTTATATGCTGCATAAAGAATAAAAAAAAAAAGATATAACTACTGAACAATCATTTAATACATTTTTTCTTCTTTTCTTTTTTGATTAGTTAAATGTGATAAAACAATTGCAAAAGCAATGATAAGAAATGTTTATTATTTGTTGAATAATTTACCAAAACAAATTAATCAAATGACTAAATTAACTTTGTTTCTTTTTTAAATAACCAAAAATATCTAAAAAAGAAAAAAGGAAAATGTGTCATCAAATAACAAAAATATATCAATAAATGACCAAAAATATGTGGTAGACATAATGTTCTTAATAATTTTATATGTTATTTATATCACATCGAATTCTTATTTACTCATTCTTTCAAATTACTTAATCGAGAACTGGAAATATTTAAAAAAAGTTTTTATTTTCTTTTTTTTCATTCATTTACTAAATTATTTTATTTCTTTTCTTTTTCTTTTTTAAATATATAATTATTTAGCTAAATTTGAATAATAAATGATAAAAAATTAAACTAATATAAAAGTAATATTAACTAACCATTTGTCATATTCACTTTTTTTTTTTTCAATATTTCCACTTCTCAAGAATTCAACCTAATTTCATACTCATTGATAATCATACTTTCCTGAAATGAAAGATAAATTCATTCTATCTATCAATTTTATTTCTTTACAAGAATAAATCAGAAAGCATAAAGAGTAAAAGTGAAGAAGAGAAAAAATTGACTAAAATATTTTCAGAATGACGATTGCGCGCGTTCTATGGCGGTAAGATAGATTCATTGTACTCGTAATGGTCAGTATTATAATTTAAATGGTCAGTACTACAACAATTCCTTTCTTTTTTTTTTTTAAGTTATTAATTTTCAATAATTCATTAAAATGATATTTGTTTAGATTATTCATTTGTTTATCTTTAATCACTCGCTTTTTTTTTCTCTCGTTGTATGAAATTGTCACATTGATATTCAAATTTGTCACACTAATATTCAAATGCATACGTTAATGTTTCTTATCAGTATTAATTAAAATTTGTTAATAATTAATTGCATTTGCTTATTTTTGATTAATAAAGTTGATGTTCATATTCACACGTGGAATAGAGTAATTTTTTACTTTCAATGTAAGTTACGTGTCTCAAATTATAGCATAGACGTGACGTATAGTTACTTTATTTTGAACGACTACAGATTGCACTACAAATCATCAGAATGTCACTTCATTTAATGTCAAATATCGAGAATATATTTGCATATGCATATTTTTGTAGAATCTATCATAGATATTTGCATGGTACGAGTAAGCACGTGTACGTGGTTATCGTACGTGAACGAGTAAAAATACTCGTTCATAATTCACGCAAAAATGTGAATTAAGAATTGCTATATATGCTGCATGGCGTATCTAATGCTTTCTGCTGCGAGTATACATTTTCCTATTAACAACGACGTCAATTAATTCACGTAACAACGACGTAACAGCAATAATTGTTACGTGAAATAGGCTAATTAATATTTCACAATTAAATTGGTTACTTTTATGGTTTACTTTTACGAAATGTACCATAATAGCAGACAAAACGATTATAATTAATTATTTTTAATTTATTTCTCACATAAAAATGAAATTATTCATTCATGCAATTTCGGTAATTTAATGATGCATTAAGGATTATCTTTTTTGAAATAAATATTAAATTTGTTTACTTCACAAAAAAGGTTTACAAATATTTTTATACAATACTTTCTAACATATTGATTTTTTTCTTTTTTTTTTTAAATTAATTAATAAGAATAATTGGAAACGTTCGTCCTACTAAAAATATATAGACTTTAAAAAAAGGAAGAAAATGAATAATAACATTACTTTGACAATTTCAAAAGGTCAAATGGGTCATATTTTGTTGACATTTAGATATAAAGTAACATAGTTTAAATTTAAGTTAAAAGGATACAATAAACTTAATGTATTCTGGATTTAAATATTTCCCTTCAATTGCATTTCATTTTCTTTGTGTTTATATCATATCATATCATATCATATCATATCATATCATATCAGGTTTATATTTGTTCAGCAGGTATTACTGTCTTTTCTGGATAACTGTTCAATATCTGAATAATTCCTATCAAATTTTGAAGAAAAAATTTCAGATTACAGATGATAATGTTGATAAAAAAAGGAATATATCTAAAAGTTAATAATTTATTCCATAAAAAACAAAAAGGATGATTAAAACAAATACTATAATTTATCCTATTTTCAAGTGCTGATAAATTAAGTTTGGAGGAAATTTAGGAATTTCTTGCTGAGTAATTAATTAATTAATTTTATTAAAAATTATTCATTTATATAAAAGTCATTTACTCACAAAATTTTATGATTCATTTGCTCATAAGTTTTGTTTTTATTTAATGCAAATATTGATGTATAAAATTTTGAAATTTTGGTAGAAATTTTTTTCTCCTCCTTGTCCGTCTCTTTTTTTTAAAACTTTTTAATATATATTTTTTCTTTAAATTTCTTACAATTTCTAAATACAATAATGAATTAAAGGACATATCAATTCACCATTCATAATAATAAAAATAATAATAATGGAGCAAAAATATTTTTTGTTTAAAAATGGCAACAAAGAAATGAATATAATTTAAATTCAAAATTTAAACAAATTATTATTTGATTCTTAATTGTGAAATTGTTCATTGTAAAATATTAATAATAAACATTTGTTAACATTATAATACACTGAATTATTTATAAAAGCAATGAAAACAAACAATCGTTATTGTTGCAAAATATTAAAAGTAAATATTTTTTATTCATTTAAAGTAAAAAACAAAACAAAAAAAAAAAAATGAAAACAAACTTTTTTAGCATAAATTTATACTCCTAACAATAGTGCTTTTTTTTAAGAAAAAAAAAAAATGAGATTTAATATTGGAATAGTTTTTATAAATTTACGATTGCATTCTTCATTCAGCAGCATTTCTTAGTCTTGTTAATAGACTATTAATATGACTTGCCTAAAAATAATTTTATAATAAATGAGTGAAACAAAAATTTAAAAAAAAAAAAGAAAAAAAGGATAAATAAGTATATGCTGATAAGATTGATTATTAATTATTGCATTTATTTATTTTATTATTTTTCAATTTTTGATAAGATTAGCTTACAATTATGAAAATTTATTGAAATTTAGCAAAAAATTTACTTTTGATTATATTAAAATTATTTTTAATCATTAAAATATGCTACATAACAAATTTATTTATTAATAAAATAGCAAGAAGAAAAAAGATATTTTTCAAATTTTCTTTTCTTTTGCATTCTTGTAGAATTGTGAAAAAAGCTAGTAAAATCAGTGTAAAATGATTAAAGTAAATTTTAGTAAGTAGCAATTAGTTTATTTTATTTATTTATTTATTTATTTTTTTTTTCGAAGAAAAATCTATCCAAAAAATCTATTTAAAGAAAAATTCTATTCAAAAAAATCTTTTTAAAGAAAAAATCCATTTATTATTATTATTATTATTATTATTATTATTATTATTATTATTATTATTATTATTATTATTATTATTATTATTATTATTATTATTATTATTATTATTATTATTATTATTATTATATTGAAGGCTTAAATGATGTAACATTTTGATATTTTTTCAATATTTTAATTATTTTTTTTTTTTTTGATAAATAATAAAATTTATATAAAAAAAAATTTGTTTAGTGTAAACAAGAAAAAAAAAATTGAATAAAAAAAATAAAATATTAACTTGAGGTGTACTTAGTGTAAGGTCGACATCCGTTTTTGCATATATTTGAATATATGGTCGATCCGTTTTCATCATCCATTTCAAATTTTTCAACGAATAACTCTGGAAGAGATTTTTCGTCTGAGCATTGATCAAATGTAAACCATAATCATTTACACCGGCATGTACAGGTACACTAAGTTTCACTGGCTGCAAATAATAGTATTAATTAGTTAATTAATTAATTAATAATTATAAATAACGAAACGAGAAAGAAATATCAAAAAATCAAAAATATCATTTACTTCTTTAAATCTAATAACAATTAATAATAATAATAGGAAAAAGAAATTACAAAACTTCTGATTTAATAATAATTAATAATAGTAAAAGGAAATGTAAAAATTATTGTTTTAAAGTAAATAGCTATTGTGGTAAGAAATGTTTACAACTATTTATTCTTAATTATTATTAATATTTTGTGACCTCTTTTTTTTTTTTTTTTTTACAAATTACTTAATATAGTAAATTAATTATGTAAATATAAGTGTGCGTAAAGTACTTACATGCATATGAATCAAAAAATATTGTTAACTTAACAACTTTTATTTTTTTTTGACATGAAAATTAATAAAGAGTAGGTATTAATAAGTGATTTCTTCATCTATTATACTATTATCTCATATTGAAATATTCAAATTATTCTTATTTAATAAATAAAATATCTAAGTTTAAAAAAAAAAACAGTATTGTATAATTTTTAAAAATTAAAAACTTTAAATAATTATTTATTATTCCAGCATAACAACCTTATTCATAAAAGCGATAGCATCAAAAAATGTTGCACCATAAACGCTGAAACGCCAACAAATTTGTAGAAATTCTTGTTGTAATTTAATTAAATTAGTTCGTTTTCGTGTTTGGTGCTCAAATTCAATTCGTGAACGCATTTGTTTTAGTGTATTTGCTGTTGTCGGTAATCGATGTATGGGTATTACAGATGCTAGCATTTGATCACTATAAATTAATATATCATTTAAAAAAAGTCATTTAGAAAAAAAAAAAATATGAAAAAAAAAAGAAACATTTAAAGATTAAAACTTATCATTAATATATCATCGAATCTTACCGTTAATATATCACTAAAACTTATCATTAATAGATCATATCATTAATATATCACCAAAACTTATCATTAACATATCATTAAATCTTATCAATAATATAACCTTAATACTCATCAGTATATCACCAAATCTCTATCGTTAATATACCATTAAAATACATCATTAATATATCACCAAAACTTATCATTAACATATCATTAAATCTTATCAATAATATAACCTTAATACTCATCAGTATATCACCAAATCTCTATCGTTAATATACCATTAAAATACATCATTAATATATCACCAAAACTTATCATTAACATATCATTAAATCTTATCAATAATATAACCTTAATACTCATCAGTATATCACCAAATCTCTATCGTTAATATACCATTAAAATACATCATTAATATATCACCAAAACTTATCACTAATACACCATTAAAACTTATCAGTATATCACCAAAACTTATCAATTATACCAAAATTTTCCACTTTTTTTTGTTCATTTTTTATATATTTTACTTGTATAAAAAAAATAAGAGAAATATCTGAATTAGTATATTATATAGTAATATAATGATTCTTCCTATCTACTTATATTTAAAAAAAAAATTTTAGAAAACTTTTCATCAAACTATTTATTAATAGAATTAAATGCATTTAATAGAATTAATTCATTGATAGAATTAAATGAATTCTTTTAAAATTAAAACCATAGAAAAGTTTTTTTTTTTAATTATTAAATTGTTAAATTATTAAATTATTTTGAATTATTAACTTGTTATTAATTTAAAAAGTTTTACTTTAATTGAATATTAACACCATAAATAATATGTAACATAATAGCAGCAAGTGATGTGAGGTCATGATCGGAACATGGATATAATCCTTTTAAATAATTCAAACGGCATTCTTCGTACAGTAGTGAAAGTGCCATTGGTGTTAATATCGCCTTAATATATCAAAATAAATAAATAAATAAATAATAATAATCAATAAATAATGAAATAAATATTCTAGTTAATTTAATTTAGATTATTCTACTTAATATTACATTATTTAGATTAATTCATTTTAAAAAGCTTAATATAATTTCTACAGCTTCTTTTTTTTTTTCATTTTTCCAACTTATTATAAAATATTATTAAAAAAAAAAATAATAATCTATAAATTAAGATATTAAATTAATGAGATTTTAATTGGTGATAGTTTATACAAATTTCCTTTTAATTTCTTAAAATATGCATACACCTCCTATGTCTATTATTTTAACTTTAATATATCAAAATAAACGATAATAATAATACAATAATTAATAATAGCATATTCTAAATATAATTTTAACTTTAATAGACATTTTTTTTATTTTATATCTCGATAATCAAAAAAAAAACAATAATAATATGATAATTAATAATAGCATATTCTAAATGTAATTTTAACTTTAATAGATATTTATTTTATATCTTGATAAATGTAAAATAAGAATCCTTTTTTCTTTTTTTTTTTTTTTTTGCTATTAAAAAATGATCAAAATGTATTTTTAAACAAATGATAGCAAAATAAATTAAATTTATAAGAAATTATTATAAATATGGCAAGAAAAAAATTTCATGTATTCCATTTGAGATACATAATTTTAGCATATTTTAATTTTGATAAATTTAATTTAAATAAAATTGAATAATAATAATAAAAAGCATTTTTACCATTTTTTCCTTTTGTAATGTTAAACGAGCATCACGACGGAAGAAAATTTTCGGTGCATCATCATCGTTTGATTGAAGTATTTCATTTCCAAATTTTGCTATTTTACTTTTCCATTTATTCATATGCAACATAGGTTTATGATCTGCTTTTAATTGTAAACCTGAAATTTTCATTTTCATTTTTTTTTTTGTGATAGAATTAGAAAAATAAAAGAAAAAAAAATTGTTTGGATTTGAAATTTCACATTTTTTGTTTATAATAATTGATGAGATTAATTTGTAAAAGTTGAAAGTTTGTGCAAATTTAAAAGAAACTTTTTGAAGCATTTTTTTTTTTTGATGTTTTTTTGATTTAATTAAATTTACTTAAACGATCTGAACAAATCCACATTGCAAATAATTTCCCACTATCACTATTAAATTTCAATTCTTTGCACATTTCCGCATGCAATTCTTCAGCTGTTGTATCTTGGCCATGTTTTAATAGTAATTGAGCATTACCACCGTCCATTAATTCCACCTGGAAAAACAAAAAGACGAAGGAAGCACAAGGAAAAAAAAATGCAAAATATCATTTAATGATAATAATAATAATGAAATGATAACACAACAGATGCATAATGATAAAATGATAGTATGATAAATTAATGATAATGAAATGATGATTATAGCATGGTAAATGAAAATGATAGAGTGATAGTATGATAACTTAATGATAATAAAATGATAAGTTTCAATTATAAATATCATGAATAAATGAATGATAAATTTCAAATGCAAAATTACTAAACGAGTAAAATGAATGGAAAAATTGAATTGAATTGAACTGAATTACTTGTATTTTATTAAGTCGTTTCCAATTGAGTAATAATTTTGCCACTTTTTGATATTCTAATTTAGGTACACATGCGCAAATATCTATGGGACGTCGTCCACTATTATCTTTTGCATCCTCAAATTAAAATCAATCAATAAATAAGTAATAAGATATACAGTATTAATATTTTAAGATGTGTTATATAAATAAAATTTCAAAATATTGTTTAAACAAAAAAGTAAAGTGAAGAAATAAATGCATACAATATATGACTAAATGTTATAACGTACGTGTTACGTAATAAATATAATCACGTACTACGTCAATTTTTGAATGTGAAAGCAATAATTCAACCATATAAACATTTCCCTGTAATGCTGCAAAATGTAATGCTGTTGAACCAACTTTATTTGAAGCATTAACATCTGTACCTTGATGCAATAGTAATACCTAAAAAAAATATTGATTAATGATTTAGCTATTTAATTCTTTTATTAAATTAAAGTTTAAATACAAAAAGAATTAGATAAAAATTTTATTTTACAATGTATGCTTATAGCTTATTGTTATAAACTAATATCATTTCCAAAACTAACTAATTTCATATTTTTCATAAACATTAGGAAAATATTTCATATAACTAAAGTATATTATTTATAATGAAATTATTGATTACAACAAAAAAAAAAATTTTAATTCGTTTTTTCTTTAAAATTTCAAATTTTCAAATAATTGTAAAATTTTCAAAAACCAATTTATATATAAGCAATACCTCTGTTGCTCGTAAATTATTATAAAAAACGCAATAATGCAATGGTGTCCATGATGCATTATCTTTTTCATTTGCTGTCATTCCTTGTATCAATAATCGTCTACAATAATTTTTTTTTTTTTTTTATTAAACTTCAAAAGTTAGATTTAAAATTTAGCTTAAAATTTAATCTTAGAAACTTGATTTAAAATCGTGAAATTCAAACTTTTATTTATTTAAAAATATATTATTTAAAATTAAAATATTTCACCTTATATCATCAACATTATCATCATGTGCTGCTTTATGTAATGGATATTTTTCGGACCAACATTCACCATTTGAACTTGATGATGATGAGATATTTTCTCGAGGTGTTACACCTTTTGCATAATATTGTAGCTATAAACTGGTTAGCATTATTAAATTATTTATTATTATTAAAAAAATATATATATATAAAAAAAACATAAAGTATTATTAAATTATTTAATGTAAAAAAAAAAGAAAAAAGAAGCATTTTTTTTTTCACTTTTTAATTAATCAAAAAAAAAATTCAATTCTTTTTTTTCCGATGTAATTTTGATATTTATTTTATTTTTTTTTTGAATCATACATAAATAAACAATCATATAATATGTTCCAGTTAAAGATGAATTTATTAAAAAAATAAATTTTGATACTAAAGAATAAATAAATTAATAATAATGCATATAACTCTTTTTAATTAGTTAATAATGCATATACTTTTACATGCTAATAATAGTAGCATAATTTTAATATTTTAATTTCGAATTAAAAAATAATTTTACAAAAAAAAAAAGAATCATACTTTTACATGCTAATAATAATAATAATAACATAATTTAATATTTTAATTCAGAATAAAAAAATGATTTTACAGAAAAAAAAACGAATCATACTTTTACATGCTAATAGTAATAGCATAATTTTAATATTTTAATTTCGAATTAAAAAATAATTTTACAAAAAAAAAAAAGGAAACAAATATTTGATGATTATTAACCTCATTGGCATTATCATAGTGTAAACCAGTACCAAAGATTGGATTAATAATAAACATATCATATTTTTCATAACCCATCATTTTTGCTCGTGCATTATTACTTCGTCTTACTTCGTCAGCTAAATCGCATGATTTCTTTGTACTACTTGAATTTCGATCGTAATCCATTATTCGTCTATAAAAAAAAAAAATTAAATAAATGTTGAAACAATTTTGTAAATTATTTAAAAATATTTTCCTTTTTTTTACGAATAAAAATTTTTTTATTTATTTATTTTTTTTTTTTTTTTTTTTTTACAAATAAAAATGTATAAAATGCAATTTTAAAAAAAAAAAAAAAGAATTTTAATAATTTTCTTCTTCTTTTTTTATTCTTTTAATATTGACTTTGCTTAATTTTTTTTTAATTAAATACTAAAACAATTTTGTAAATTATTTAAAAATCATTAGTAATATTTTTTTTTCCAGATAAAAATGTAATTTTTTTCAAAAAAAAAAAAAGATTTTAATCGTTTTTTTCATATTTTTAATATTGACTTTAATTTAATAACTTGAAGTAGTTTTATTTATTTATTTTGAAATACATACATTACAATATATGAATGATAAAATATTTTTTTTTTTTCTTTCTCAAAATTAAATAATGAAATAACAAATTAATTATGCATTTTGAAAAAAGAAAATATTTATAATCTTCCACATACATTAACAATTTATTTAGATAACTTTTAAAAGTTATCCGAATAAAAGTTGAAAATAAAATTAAGAGCAAAAAAATTTTCAAAATGCTAAATGCTTTTTCACTTGTGACAGAGTGTGGATTGTTCATGTTCATAAGCAGGATTATGCGCACATTCTCGAATTCGCATCTTTGCAGGTGGTAGAAAAAAAAATCGAGCAAGAAAATTCGTATTACTACATTGCTGATCATGAAGCCATCTAAATATATTCATAATTAAATATTTTTTTCATTAAATAGTAATCCATAAAAAAGTTTTGCGTCTTTGTGCAATTAGAAATAAACAAATGAAATTAATTGATTAAACAAATAAATAATATAAACAAAATAAATTGATAAATAAAGTAAACAAATAAATTAATTAATTATAAATAGTATTCATGATAGATTTTTTGTATCTTTATGTAATTAGAAATAAATAAATAAATAAAATTAATTAAATAAATAAAATAAAACAAAACAAATGAATAAATAAAATAGCGAATAAAGTAAACAAATAGATAAATTACCTAACTAATCAAACAAAATAAATAAATTAATTAATTGGTTAATTGAATAAACAAATCAATTTAATGAATAAACAAATAAATAATAAAAAGCAAAAATTTTCATTTTTTTTAATTTCGTTTTTCTTTTTCGATAAATTAAAAATAAGAAAATGCTTTCCATTTCTTTTTTTCTAATCTATCAAGAAAAATAAATGAATGCTATTTTCCTGAATACTACGATTTATTGGCAAATCAATGAAGCATGTTATATTTACAAATTATTATCAAATTAAACTTGCACAAATTACTAGTTTCATCATTTATAAAATTTGTTTAATAAGCATAGAAGATGAAAGGAAGCAAAATAAGCAAGAAATACCAAATTGGTTAAAAACAAAAGTTAAACCTTTCAAGTTGTAAAATACAATGACATGTTTCCACCGAGAAACAATTGGGTTCAATTTGACAACATTTGGAAACAGAGGAAAGTGCTTCAAAATTGCCAATTTTAGTCAGTTTTGTAAATTCATCCTCTGCAAATTTACAATAATACATTGATCTTTTAATGATAATTGAAATTTGCCAAATAAAATTTAACAATTATAATTTATTAGTTAAATGAAAAATGCAATTAAGCGAATAATTAATATAAGCTTGATTTTGTAAAATGAGTCAAATAAAATTGAAAGAAGAAAAAAAAAACAATAAATACAATAAATAATTCCAATTTTGCAAAGTCAATAATAACAGAAATAATTAGCATGAGATATATTATTATTTAGACTTGCATATTTTTAATAGATAAACTATGCAAGAAAAAAAATTTGAATTTTAATAAACAATTTCAAAAAAAAAAAGAAAACACCGTTTTCAATAAGTGGAATGCAGTATAATGAAAATTGTACAGATGTCGTATTTGATGACCTGTTTTGCGACATTAACTCATTATCATGCCATAATGGTACTTCAAATGCTCGTCGTGGCCATTTTCTGAAATTTGTGGGTGAAATAATCAGAAGCAATAATAATAATTAATGTTATTATTGCTAATAATAATAATATCAAGGATGAGAATATTGCTGCAATAATAATAAAAAATAAATAAATAAACAAATAAATAATAAATAACAAATACTAATAATGATAGTAAACAGATAAAAAATTAATCATTAATTATTAGTATTAGTGATGTTATCACATGATTATTAGCGTTCCGTTATCACAATAACTATAATAAATAATCAGTGATGTATTTAAGAATGGATGAAAATAGATAAAATAATAAGAAACAATTGTGCATTATTACATGAATATTAATAGTTAAAATTAATAAATTTATCATTTTCTTATTAAGAAAATGAATTTTTTTTCTTGAAAATATCAAAAAATTTATATTAAAATATGTGACAGAGAGAGAGAGAAAAAAAAAAAAAAAAAAAGAACCACCTGCAATGATATTGAACAAAACGTAATGCTATTTCACTGGGATCATCATTAGATGATACATGACAACGAGGTAATTGTAATCGAATTTCATGTCGTGATGATGAACAGGGCTCATTAACGAGAAATACCTTAAATGCATTTGCATTAATTTTATCGAGTTTTTTGTCTTGCATTTGTACCACAGCTATTGCTATTTCCATTTTTCGAAAATATAAATCCTGAAATAAATTTTTCTTTTTTTTTTTTTTCTTCAAATTATTACAAATTAGTTTATTAAATATAAAATACATAAAATGGTTAACAAATTATATAAGTAACATATTAATTTACATTTGAAAATATCAATAAATTATTTATTTATTATATAACAAATTTACTTATATAATATTTATTTGATAAAAGAAAAATGGAAAGATAATAAAAGAGAAAAGATATATTTGTGATATTATATAAGTGCAAAGAAAAAAAAAAAAGAAAACAAAAATTATGAATGAAATGATAGCTGAGAATTAATGAAGATGATAAATTGAAATTTTAATTAGTGGAAAAATGGTAATTGGAATAATAAAAATATAATTGAAATAAAACTGAATAATCGAAGAAATGATAAGTTTACTGATATGGATTGAAACAATGATGAATCAAATTGGTCGATAGGTGAAAAAAAAAAAGAGAAAAAACGAAGAAGGAAAGATAGGAAGAAATGAGAAGAAAGAAAGGTAAGGAAAGTAAAGTAAAGTAAAATATTTCAAAGGGTGTGGTCGTCATTTTCCGCTCATATAATGTCTTCTTTTCAACTATCACATACTTTTGCCATTTTTTTTTTCACCCCTTTTTTTTGTTAATTTTATTTTTTGAAAATTTTTTCATGAAATGAATGAGTGAATAAAAATTTACACAATAACATATCCAATGAATAAATTCATGAAAAAAAAAAATGACATACATGGATGAAAAATAGTTTTTAAAGAAATTAGTGTTGAAAAATTGATGATTTTTAAAATAATTTTATTTCTTATTTTGTTTCATTTTCTATGATGGCTATTAGATCGTAAAAAAAAAAGAATCGTTTTAGGGACAAAAAAGACAAATGATTAATCATTGAATGATATTGGTAATTTAAGTAATATTTTGAATACTAGTAATTTAATAATATGTAACAATATTAAGAATAATATTAGTTATCTAAATAAAAATACATTTAAAAAAATATATAAAATAAAAAAAAATAGGTAATTTTTATTTCAAATTTTGCCTCTTTTCTTATTTCGATGTTTTTTCTAAATTGATTGAAATATAAAAAGTTTGTTTCTGAATATTTATTATAAATAATTGTGTATTAAAAATCTGGTTGAATATTATTGTCATTAAACTCACTTCTTGTCACCAATTGTTTGTCAAACTTTTGGCTCTTTGATTTTTATTTTTTTTATTTTTAAAACAAAAACAAATTTCTCTTATCACAGACAATACAACAAAATAAGTAAGTAAACTTAGTACTTGCTCTGCAAGCAATAACTATGATTATTACATTTATATGGACTAATTTGATAAGTTAAATCGTAATCATTATCAAGGTAATGTTTTACCTAGGTAATTCAACTCTAATTTTTTCTAAAGGTAAGCTTGCCAGCCACCATATGCAGCAAATAAAAGTAACACGTGAAAAACTAGCAATATTAATTGCTAGTTTTTTTTTTTTTTTCACAGCCTAGGAGCCAAGCCCTCATCTAATGGATGAACCAAATCCTGAGCATTTTAACAGCAACGATGGCACCTTGACACGTTGACACATTGAGAATTGAAATTACCACGAATGCATTACCTAGGTAATAATGCATGCTTAAGTGATGCTTGATGCATTCATTATATGTATAAAATTATATGTGTTAAATGCATGCCTTTTGCAATGAAACTTTTATATCTTTTCTTCTTATTTTTTTATTTTCAATTTAGTTTAATTCAATTATTATTTCCCCATTTCTTATAATTTGCATGGTTTATTTATTATTATTACTATTATTATTAATATTCTTCTTCTTCTTATTATTATTATTATTACTATTATTACTCTGCCTTAATACGCATATATGTAATGTTAATATCAATAATATTAAAAAAAAAATGTTTAATATATTGTTTAATATATTAAACATATTAAACATTTTTTTTTTGTTTTATAGTTTCTGTATATTAAACCTTGTTTAATATACAAAAACTATTACAAATTTTAAGATTTTTAAAAAATTCAAAATTTAAATTTGAAATAAAATTTAAGTTTTTTTCTTAAATTGAATTAAAACCATGATTAATTGAAAATTTTATTAATTTTGCTGATGAATTTTTGCGCATAAGTGTACGTACGACGTATGAGTATGTGTAATTTTCTCGTCTTTTTTTTTTTTTTACTTTTCGCTAAATCCTTGAAATTCTTAATGTTATGTTAAAAGACACACCCAAATCATTGCTGATTGATGTGTATTTCTTTTATTTTTTGTCTAAATGTTCCAGAAAATTGTTTACTTTTTTTTAATGGCTTTTTTTTTCACTACCATCATTTCTAAGGATCATTTGATAATTTAAGTTTGGTGAGAAATTGCAGCATTCAGCATACTTATGCATAATATAATGCAATATCAGTTCACTGAACATAATAAAATAGAACAGCATACAAATAAATAAACAATAGCTAGCTATATCATTACGAAGAAGAAAGATGTTTACAAAAAATTTTTATCAGGATTTCATAGTACAGGAAATATAAAATTATTGTTAGTTAATTTTCTAGAAGAAATAAATGTCATATATTTGACATCTCCAGAGTTAAATATAATTATGGAGCAAGAGGAAGAATTCAACACAAAAAAATTATCGTGGGAGGTGAGTTATCTTGGTAGGTTAGTCAAAAATATAGAGCAAGAAACGAAGAAATAGTTATTAGAGTTACGTTAACTCCAATAATAATCGGTGTAACATACGTTTGTTAAATGACAACGTTTGAAATATTAAATTTCATTAGGACAACATGATATCTGTAAGTAAAAGAAAGTAAATGAATAATATGTAATACTTATGAAAAGAAGAAACGTTAGGTTTGAAGATAGTGGTGACTCCTGTTGGATCCCAAATAAACTAAAAAAAAAAAATACCTCACTTATGTTTATATTTGTTAAGAGTTGAGAATGGTTTACAACAGAATTACAATGGATGATTACAATAGACATTACATTAGCTTGCAAAGAGACATTACATTAGCTTGCAAAGAGACATTACATTAGCTTGCAAGAGACATTACATTAGCTTGCAAAGAGACATTACATTAGCTTGCAAAGAGACATTACATTAGCTTGCAAAGAGACATTACACCAGATGTTCATTTGCATACATGACAGATGCATACTGTACAGGGATTATAATAGGATCAAAGCGGGAGATTAAAATGTGAGTTTTTGTTAGATCAAGATAACAAAAGGGAATGCAATACAGCTGAGAAATCTAATATTCCTTTAAATGATCCATAGTTAAATTATTCATAAAATTGCTAACAAATATTTACAATTTGAATATATAAATTTATTTTATTATTTTATTTGGAATGTCGCAATAGTGAATTCGCGGCACATGTTGCAAACATATTAGTGGTTTAAAAAACCGATCTGTGATGAGTTTGTGACGACTGAAGGATTGTTTCAGAAAGTCCTCGTATCTCGGGGACATTTCTATTGGAGTAGCCAACGTAACCATCCTTTTTGTTATAAGCCAAGCCAATGCTTACTATATGGGAATTACATCCATTGTTTGAGTCAGTTCTTAAGTATCAGTAAACTTTAATTCGGTTGCTTTTAAACATTAATTCAATTTTATGGCAGTGGTTAGCAATGTATTTAAAAGTATTCGTGCAATGATTTTACTGGTAGCAAAGAGCAAAATTGACAGTTCAACAGTTCGACCAGTTGGACTTTTCTCTTTTTCTTATAAAAGGCGATAGTAAATAACTGTGGTAATCCGATAATTATAACTCATAACGAGTTAGTGAATTTTAGAGTAAATGCTTGGCTTCTATTTTGGAAACATTCGTATGGGAATGCTTTCAAGCCTAGGTTCTTGGCAGATTTCATCTGTTGTACAGCCTTCAGAGTCTCTTCCGAAGTGAAAGTTACATTCAATTTAATTTTCACTAGTTCTTGAGTGATGTGTTGAACTGCTGTGTCATTAATTGTAAAACTGTTATTGAAGAAAGATTGGAAATGTTCGGATTATCGGTTTAAATTGAAAGATGAGAAGCACTTGGCTACTGGTTTTGGAGCTTCAAAGTGTCTTCTATAACGTTAAAATTTACTTCTTACTATACAAAGAGTGAAAGGGAGGGTAGAACTCTTTACTTATGGATAACGCGCTTAAAAGAGATCCTTTGGATCTATTTTCTCAATTTTTCTAATATTGTTCAATAATTTCGATCAGTGATAATTTTTATCCCAACAAACTAATAATCAATCCCAACTATAATCTTCGCTGCAAAATTTTATGATTCCTATTCGACTCTAGTGGATTCTACTCGAATCAAACCATATTTCATGGAGATAATATAACAATGTAATTACAAGTTTTCAAATATTGGACAAAAAATCATAAATTGTTTTCAAATAATCCATAATAAATTTGATGATTGAAAAGAAAAAAAAAATTGTAATATATATATATATCACTAAAATAGGTTATTCAAATTTATATGAAGGTAATAAAGTTTTGAAATATGCGAAAATGTGTTCAAATTACTTGAAATTATTTGAAATGCATATAAACTGCTTAGAATAAATTGAAAAGTGAAATATATTGTAAATTGTTATAACAATATAATACGAAATAATATAGTACAAAAGTAACGGAAGATAATATAAAAATGTAAGCCAATATTGGAATAATTTATTGATAATAATGGTAACTGTAAAAATGATCAAATGTAGTATATTTTGATTTAGTACAAAATTAATTTTTTTATTTTTACTTTTATTTTTTTTTTTTTAATACAATGCAATAAAATCTATTACAAACAATAATCAAATATACATATTTTAATAAAGAAATGTTGCGAATTTCAAATATTTTGTATGTGAAAGCAGTAGCTAATAATATTGAAAGAGAAAAAGAGAGTTTAGAAAGGAATAAGCAATGTTTGAAGAAATTCTTGAAATATTAGATAAACAAAAGATTGAAAAGAGAAAAGTAACAAATGATAAAAAAAGAATGGAATTAGATTGATTGAGAGTTAAAATGAATTTACAAGAAATTTCTCATAGGAATATTTTTTAAATTTAATTTCAGAACTGAAAATTTATCTTTGGAATATTTTTGATTGTTAAAAGTTAAAAAAATTAAAAGCAAAGGTCAAAGAATGCTTGCAAATTAAAGATTAGAGATAAATAGATATGTTAAAAGCTAATAATAATATTTCATTAATCAGTGATGAAAAAAAAGTGCTCTTCTTCTGTTTTTCATCATAGATCACATATTCTTTATCTCTTCAAAATATTAATTTTTGCAAAATTTAATTTAATTAATATTAGATCAGTTTGATTTTACACAAATATTATCGATGTTAATTATTAGATGAAATTTTCTAGTGACTGTTTTTTCAGGTAAAATGTAACACAGAAAAATTTCGGTTTTATCTTTGATACTCTTTGATCTTAATACGAATTTCAGGCTATTTAAAAATATTAAAATCTAATTTTCAAACAAATTAACCAAAATGTTATTTGCATTATAACTGTATGCAGTAATAATGAAAATTTGCTTTTGTTTTTTCACATTTTTTTACATCTATAATAAGACAAATTAGTTTTTTTCTAGAATAGAAAAGTTATTTAATTAAATTAATTTATATGAATTTCTTTGCTATATTTTAACAACAAATTAAGAAATAAATTTGCAAAATTTTTGTAATACAATATTCTTTGAGATTCCATTAATATTGATCATTTGATTTATACTAGAAATAACGCCAAATTATGAAAATATTTGTACGAAATTTTCACATATTTCAAACACTGATAATAATTGTATAATTAAAGTTGCCTCAACAACATTTATACTTATGTTAGAAACAAAAATCTTAATAATTTTATTACTTATATTCTTTCGAAAATAATTTACAGATGAAAAGAATAAATTAAAAATGATATTTTGTTGTTATAACAATTGAATCAAACATTTTAATTATTATTACCACCGTAAGAATGATTACTGCATCGATTATTTAATTCTAACATAACAAATTTTTTGTGCCATTTTTTACTTCTTTAAAATTTAATTATTTTTCTTGTAGAAGCCCAAATTCAAATCAATCTGTTCAACAAAACTAATAAAAAGATAAACAAAAAGTATAAAAAACCACTAATCAATCAACATTAGTTGTTATAAATAAATGCCAAAACAAACTTACTAATTATTCTAACTGAAGAATAATTTATACTTTGAATTGAATAATAAATATTTCATTAAAATTGTTTTAAGGTAGGAATTAAGTTTTGAATTTTTCCAAATTTTCACAGTTATTTATATTTACGTTAACGATATATTCTTGTTAACACTTAAAAAAAAAAAATAGATAACCAAATATTTTACTTTCATTATTTTTAATATATTGCATATAAATTTGACAATTTCCCGAAATCTTCCTGAATTCATTGTGCTAATGATCGATAGTATAAACAAAACATTTCATCTCATTACTGTTATTTTCAAATTTTTTAACATTTTCAAAATATCAAATCTAAATTCTCATTCCACATTTGCTTTCATCCTAATTTTCAAAATTTATTTTGAAAAGAGAAAGAAATGAAGCAAACATTTCATTTAACAATTAAAAACAATCATAATATTTCCTTGTGATATTTCTTTCGATGAAATAACGGGAAAAAGTGAAAAATTATCGAATAGCAAAGAGAAATTAATTTATTAGCACAGAAGCAAAAACCTCGAATAAACAATATGAATTCAATGAAAGAAGAAAACATTCCTCTGAACATTTCATCGGGATGTTTGCAGAAATTTTGATCTATATCGATTTGTCATTTGAAAATCTGGCAATAGATAAAGCTGTATTTTTTTGATGCTTAACAAACTGGCGCTGCTCAAAACTTTTATCATTAATACCTGGAAAAATTATTCATATAGCATGATTTCTGTGAAAAGAAACAATCACAAAGACACAAAATAATAAATATGGCATCACTATCTTTCTCAGAATTTTTTTTTTTTTTTTTTTTTTTTTGCTGAAAAAAAACTAAAACAGAAACGAAAAAACACACAACTATACATCAATGTGAGACACCGAAAATGACAAAACCGGATAATGTTCAATAATACATACCAAGATAAACATAACCTCGACATATAATGAAAATCCGGAATGAAACAAAGCACTAGTTTAACCACGACTAAAAATAAATACAACAATACTTATTACATCTATTATAGCACTATAATACATAAAATTAAAAAAATTAAAACATAGTTATAAATAGTTTCTACTATGTACTATTTCAATATAACCTTTTTATTGTTATTATTATTATTATTTTTAACAATAATACGTTATAAGACATTTGTAGTCAATAATTTTAATAAAACATTTATAAGTATAAGAAATTAGTAAAATATGGATAATATGCTGCAATTTGTTTATTTCGTAGTCCCGTGTCAACAATCTTATCATCCCATTATCACCGCAACACAATTATTCCTTGTATACAAGAAAAAACTAATATCTTACACTCACTCAACAAAATTTAAAACCATTCTTTACATGCTTACTTATGCTGGTTTAATCGATGTGATAGATTTAACATAAAATAAATAGAAGAAATCTAGGACACATCATGTAAGTAACCATATTTTAAGGTAAAAAAAAAAACAGATAACAGTAAGAATGAAATGGGAAAAAATTATAAAGAAAGAAAAATTATTGGAATTATCAACTCGAAAAAGATCAAAAAAAGTACAAGAAGATATCTCTGTGAAAAAAGTGTTAGAGGAAAAAATAAAAAATACTAAACTTCGCAAGATTTCCATCATTAAAAGCCTCATCTTATTCTCATATGACTGTCCCTTTTCTTTAAACAAGATGAGATGAATAAAATCAAATTATAATACTCCAACCATCTACTCCGTTGTTAATCACTAATTAACTCAAATTGCTAAAACATCATGTCATCTATCCCTCTTTTTCCCAAAATCATTCATTTTCATAATATGCGACAGCAACCGAATTTGCTAGTTCAACGATAAAACGATCTAGCCAGGTGACAGAGTTTGGAGCAATACTGCTACCTTCCAAGAAGCCAAGATGTCCACCATGTTTTGTGAGAACGAAGCCAAAATGTCCATTTGTTGCAGCTAATTCTCGAACCGGATGCCAGAGACAAGGTGGTATAAGCGGATCATCTAACGCATTCACGAAAATCTGAAGCATCTTCGATTTGTATTACATTAACAAAAAATCGCATTTTGCAATTAAATATTCTGTCTTCATCTTCATTAGTAGCTCAGTAGTTAAAAATACGAGAGAAACACTTACCAGTGAGCTAATAGCAAATGATTTAAGTCTTATTATATTGCACCTTATCCACATTTTGCCTTTTTTAAAATTTCATTTCAAATAATTCTAGTGCTGTCATAAACAGATGACATAAGACGAAAAAACAATCAGTAGTTAATATTTATTATCTAAATGAGATAAAATGTTGTCAAAGGACAAAAAATTGGTCATTTCCATTTGAATAGTTAGGTTTTGCTTCATTCATTCATTAAAAAAAAAAAAAAACATTTACCATTGGTATTTTAATCTTCGGAATTACTGATAAGGAACTGATGTCCCGATAAAATTCTTCCACACTTTCGTAACCCAATATACGGCGAGTGTATGAATCATCCAGTGCCATTATTGACGTTGCTGCCCACAAGTGCTGCAAAATTTATAGTTAAAATGAATTTTTTAAATTGTCAAAATATGGGGAAAAAAGAGAAAAAAATCCAGATAAAGTGCTGGAAATATACAATCATACAACAATAAAAAACTACTTACTTGTTCATCTATTAAACCTGTTCTGACGTGCGGTGCTACTGCCATATCGTAATTTCTTCTTAGCAGTCGTTTCATATTTTCCGTTATCAAATAATTATATGCTCGACGACCATTTTCCCAATTGTGATACAGCGAAAGTGATCTAAAATCAATTTCCAAAAAGACAAAAGTTTTTTTCTTGTTTAAAATGTTTTCCTTTGTTTCGATATGCAACATATATTTCGAGGGCATTGTTATATCTGAAAGAAAAGCAATAAAAACATGAAAAAACACAACAGGAAAGAAGGCAGAACAAGCACGAGAAGGAAAGTGTAACAATATGCTAGATTTCTCAGCATTTTGTTTGCAAGATGCAAATAGAAAATGAATATTTAAGTTTAATGAAACATGAGAAAATTCCGAATTTTCAAAACATTTCAAAAACGATTTCATAAAATATTGTAGGATGATTATTCCAACAAAAGTTTTAAAATCCAAATACATATCTTAAAATGAAATGATACATTTCGGGAGGGGAATCGAGCATTTTCTGTCGTAATAATTAAAAGTAACATAACATTATTTTTCCGAATTTTCGAGCAAATAAAATCTATTATAGTAAAAATGTTAAACAAAATTAATAAAGAAAAACCAACGATGTGGCACAATATCCCTGTGCAACAGAAAGTCCAGCAATAATTCGATGCTGAACACAATCGGACGATAATTTAGCAATCATACGAGTGGTTATATTTGCACCCATACTGAAACCAACGCAAAAGAAACGAGTGGACGGATATAATTCATGTAAACGTGCCATCATCTCTTCCATTTCTTCTGTTCCACCTTAATTTTTTTTTTTTTTGCAGAAAGGAAAATTAAGTTCTGTTGGGTTTGAATTTCTTTCTTTGCAAAAAAAAGGAAAATATTCGTTGCTTAAATTATTCAAAATTCAAAAAAGTTTTTACCGCAACCATTTCCTTTTCTTTACACGCTGCAAAAAAAAGTTATGGTTTAAGGCAAAAAAAAAATTATTTTGTAGTGGATTCAAATAATTGAATGACCATCCAATATTAATTTACTTCCAATAATAAGCAAGGTTATCTGTTGCATCAAAATAACAGTACAAAATCTGTATTATATTGAAAATCAACTAATGAAGAACTATAAATTTATTGTTACATTACAATCATACCGCTCTATATTATAATAATTTCAAACCAACCGTAAGAAAATATACGATTTGATGTGAGCGGAACATGCTTTAGCGCGCCAAGATGATTCAATACGGCACAACGATATCCATTTTCCTGAGCATAATGAACACAAGTGCGGATGTAATTTGATTCACTCGTATTCGCAATACCGGGACATAAAGCTAGTGTTAGGTCTTCTGTAAAATTCGATGCTCGAAATTACAAAAATTTACGAAAGCAGTTCTCAAAGTATATGTCAAAAATAAAAACAAAACAAAAGCAAGCAATTAACTCCATTTCAATTCTTGGCTGGAAATATTCCTTTCATTTCTTCGAATGTCCATAATTTTTATCTATTATCATCTATTAATTAGAAAATAATATCTTCACTTCTCAAAGAATGCGGCTTAACAGGTTCGAAAACATCAAATACGACTGATGCTCCATCACTCAGCTTCACAACATGCCGACAATCGTAAGTCCGGATGAGTGATGCATGCCCGAACAGCCCGTATGATGCTGTTTGTAGATGACCACTTCGACCCCATAGTAACGGCGGTGAGTAACTAAAATTTGCTAATAAATAGGTATGATAAAAATTAAATTTTAATCATATGGAATTTGGTCCTTATCAATGAATCTATTGAGTAAAATTCCGCTCTTTAAATTCTAGCTAGTTCCATTGAACATTAATACATTCTAGAAAAGAAATTAATAGTTCTGCATTTCAATTTATATCTACATTATAAATGCAAATATACTTATTCGGTGCACTGAAAAAATGCAAATAAATGCAAATATACTTAATCAGTGCACTAACATTTCGTTCAGAATGGGACATCGATTTAACATATCACCGATCGATATTTGATTCTTGCTAAGTGTTGTCTTCTGCATATATGTTACCCAGGGCTTTTCCGGATAACTCAGTACATTGAGAAAACGGATTAACGCAACAATCAAAACAAATGCTCCAAGCCAAACATAATTCGACCAAAAATCCGTTAATGAAACCCAATTTAGAAGCGACTCTAAAAACGCCATTGTGTTTGCTACCGCCATCAATTTATGTTTTCTCCTGCTATCAATTGGCCCATTGTCTTCCTTAGAAGTGCGTTCGCTCCATTCTGGAAAATTTTACAATTTTGTTTTTGATTGGTTGGAATCAAAATATTTCAATACCACATATGCGAAAAAAAAAAATCAGACGATAAAACACAAATCAAAACAAGTGAAGCAACTGATAAGCAATTGATAAGATCAATCTGAAAAAAAATCAAAAAAATTTCGCGTGTAGAAAATGAAATTGAAAAGAAGACAAACTTTACATATTTTATAGCATACCAAATTAATACTAAATTTCCGCAGAGATATAAAGAAAAAAGGAGAGAAAAAAATCAAAAAAGAAAAAAAAAAACAAGAAATGAAGGAAACTGCTGCAAACAGGAGTTTCGAGAAATAATTTGAAAGAAATATGATGGTAACATTTGTATAGTTTAAATCTTTCAAAGAAAAATAACTGAGAAGCAAAGGAAAAAATTTTTAAATTTTGCCCATGCACGCCCATTCTTTGAAATTTGTAACATCACCCTTCCCCACCCATTTCCCGCAATTTTAACACCCATAAAAGTAGCATAGATGTAAAATACATCGATAATTCTAGAAATGATTTCGCAACTTGAACATGAGCCTCGGGCATTTTGCATTATGTGACACAGTGAAAATCGTAATCCCAGGAGTTCCGATAATACACAAACTTATATTGCTTGCTCGATTCGTCTGAATTGATTAAGCACAATCTAATTAGGGTTAATTAGAACTAGGTAAGGAAGGTAGTATTTCTGAAATAATGAGGCTTAAATATAAGTTATTCACATTACTCTAAGTTAAGGTAATTTAAGATAATAGAATTAAGGGATTAGAAATCCTTGAAGCTTAAGAATAATTTCATGTTAGTATACGTTAATATATTGAAATAATTTAAATTTGATATATTTAAAAATTAATAATAAAAAAAGAAAGAAGAAATTGATGTATTAAAAAATGAAAAAATATAATATATATTGGAGTAACTTCATGTTGATAAATGTTGAAATAATTTAAAAATATTCATAATATCTTATTGAACCTTTTTTTTTTTTTTAAAAAAAACAATAAACGTCTGCATGAATTTAATAAGTTTGTTTTTTTTTTTTTTTTTTGCAAGAAATATTAATCTCTTTCAGAAAGGTTTTTTTAAAAAAAAAAAGTATTTACGCAATTAATTAAGAATAAACTAGCTTAACATTGTATTTTGCTGCTAAGATATTGGTTGCATTAGTTTATAAAAAATTTAATATTTAATATATTTGAAAAATATTTATGAAATTAAACTTAAATAAATGAATAACTTAATATTTTCTATTTTAATTTAAATTTTAAGAAGTTTGTCACAATGTCTTTTATGTTATATGAGCATAAATAATTAAAAGTTTGTAATATTTCAAATTTTTGTAATATCAAAAAAGTTTTAAAGAATTTTTGCTATATTAATTGTGTGCTACTTTAAGCTTTTTTCACGAATTGCGTTAAATAACTTTTCGAGTTTTTTTTTTTTTTTTTCTCATAGGTTATACTAAATTAAATTTACTTATAAGTTTTTTCAGTTTATAAGTTAAAAATTCGTAATTAAATTTTTAATTTTTGAAACTTCTTTAAACGATTACTATTAATATCGTTTTAATATTTTGAGAATTCTAGTGTGAAATTTTTCATTTAGTATTTCAGAAGTTTGAAAAAGAAAAAAAAAAAAAAAAAAAACCAGAAGATAAAAATTGATCACTTCATTGAGATTTTATATTTATTAAATTATCAGACAAATTAATTTGGTCAGACTTAAATACTTGATTGTATTCAGTAAATTATTTAAATATGATTGAAGTCAGAATGTCTGATTGAACTGACATGGCGTAAAGTTCTCTCAATGTATGATATTATTCAAAATGAGTGAGAAATGATATATGTATAATTGATTTCTTTTTTTAAATAATAAATTTAAAAATTAAATATGAATCATTTTAATTATCCACATTTATATCATTGAATTATTTTAAATAATTCATTAATTGTTAAATTTTGTTGTATGATATTGTTGTTATCGCCATAACAATTTCAAACATTTCAATTTCATAATTTTCATTCGAGAACAACAAATGACAGTGAAAGTTTTTGTGAATTAAATGATAAAATGTCATCCGATATTTAATTACCCTGTTACAACGGGGTCATCTGCAAAAAGTTATCATTTTTATGACAGCAATATCTTTTCATTGTCGCATCCTTTTGTGTCATCAGATTCCATCCTAACATCATTTTATTATGGTTGATTATGTTTATCGACCTTAATTACTAATTATTATCAATCTTAATTAATTATCAGCATCCGTACACACAGCTACACACACACGTGGACATATTGCTAAACTAAAAAAAAAATAAATAAAATAATATTAATATAAAAAAAAAGTAATATTAATATAATAAACTGAATTCAAGTATTTCATTTTAAAAATTTTAATAAGTTTCATTTTTTTAATAAATTAAATCTAATTAATTAATAAATTACTTTCATAATTATCACATTTATTTAAAAAAAAAAAAAAACTTTGCATTGATAACATTATTTGATGTTGTAATTAATAACGTATAAAATAGATTTTGTAATAAGAAAAGAAATACAAAAGTTATATTACTGATCACAAATATAAACAATTTTCACATGACTATTTATCATAATGATTCATCTGATCGTTCTTTTTTTCTTTTTTTTTTTTTGCAAAAATTTGAAATAAACATACAAGTTTATCACATTCGAATTTCGCTTTCCTTTTTTTTTTTTGCATTTAAAAATTTTACTTAATACTACCTATTAAAATATTTTTGTAAAAAAAAAAGAAACATATCATTCTAGTATTAACTTATTTTATAGATAATATTATTCTATTATTGTCATAATTTATTTAATTAAAAATTTTTGGAAAATTACATCATATCATAAGACGATAGTAATAATTGATTACATAAGTTAAAGAAAACGAAAAGTTAATGATAAGTTAGCTTTCTTGCTATCTTATAATAAAATTATAAATGAGATTATTAAAATTTTATATTATCAAAGATATAAAACACTGATAACATTATAACAGTCTATAAAAAACTTTTTCAAGCTTTACGACAAATTAATTAATAATTAATATTTCATTACGATAAATTAAACTCATAACTGAATATTAGCTTTATATATATATATATATATAAGAAAATGAGTTGAATACAATATCAGTAATATCAAATTATCAGTTTAACACTTATTCATACCAATATTATTTATTATCATCAATGAATGAATCAGAAGTTAATTTTAATCTTTCATTTTTCCCTCCTTTTTTTTTTTAAAAAAAAAAAAGAAAAACTTCAAAAAAAAAAAATAGATGAAAATTGAAATTCAAAAATTTGCTTCCCTTTCATTAGATGAAATAAATGAAAGAATCCATGGTGACACCAAGGACACGTGAATGATGACAAACATCGAGCAGGCAAATCGCCAAAAATTTTTACTAGCAAGGACAAATTTCATGGTCGTTTCGACATTTTTTTTTTTTTTTTTTTCTTTGTTCTTCTTCCTCTTATCTTCTCGAGTTAAAATGATAAAATTTTTGCTCATTTTATTTGTGTTTTTTTTTTTTTTTTTTATATTTTCGAAATGTTCAAACAGGTTTATTTTACTAATTTCATCATTATATAATCATACTAATAGTGTTCCGAAAAAAAATTTTTTATCGATCATTTTATTGCTCAAATTCAAATCTAATCGAAGTAGTAGTCTTAGTAATTTAAGTGAACTGAAATTATAATTGTTAATTAATTAAATTGTGTGAAAAAAAAAAGTAAGCGAAATAATCTATGTTAATATTAAAATATATTATCTTATGCTTTAATAATTAATCTCTTTCTTTCTTTCTTTCTTTTTTTTTTTCTAGAAAAAATAAAATAAAATGAATGAAAGAAAAAATGAAATGACTAAGTCAATTAATTTAAAAAAATTCATGAATTTATAAAATAATTCAAGCTCAATTAAAAAATATTTTCAATCTTTTATGAATTAAAAACTGTTCTAACTAATAATTTGTCCTAATTATCTATTTAATTTAATTATGCATAATATATGAATTTTAAAGGATATATATTAATTTTTAGTTGCAAATGATAAACGATGAAATGACATAAATAATCATTGATCGAAACATTTGCACCAAATTATTATAAAAGACAAAAGAAAAAGTGCAAATCAAAAAAAGAAAAAAAAATTAAACAATTTCAAAAAATTATTAATTAGGAGATGAAGAATGGTAAAAAGAGGAGAGAGAGAGAGAGAGAGAGAGAGAGGGAGAAAAAAAGGGAAATTCAAAGAGGTATAAAGGAGGGGAAATGAAAAGAAAAGAAAAGTTGGTAACTAATTAACTGATTGTTTAATGAGAAATTGTAAAAATTGTAGTAAATTATGTTGACAACAATTTTTATACTTTCATTTCAAAAATTAATTAATAGCACTCATTGATTTTTTGTCCTATTTTCTCTTTGTCTTCTTTATAAATTCATTATGTTACTTACTTCATTATACTGATAAAGTTATGGTGATAATGATAGTGATAATGATACAGCATGTTATGATAATAATATTACTATAATAGTAGTAAATATTAGGTCCAAGGGAAAAAAAGAATTTAAATATAAAATAATTTGACTACAAAATATTTTGTTTATAAATTATGCATATTTTTAATATTATTTATGATATTTTTTTTTTTTAAAAATTATATAAAGCATTGTCAAATATATTCATATTTCATCTAAAAATTCCATTAAAAAAAAATTAGCTTTGCATTTTTTTTTTCTTTTTTGCATTTTAAATTCATTTAAAATTTTCTTTTTTTTTTTCTGCTTTTTTTTTTGTTTGTTTTTTTTTGTTAGTGGCTATTTGTAGTTTATTTAATAAACTTATATGATTTGTCTAAAAATCACATAAACAATTGCTATGTACTTCATCGCATTTAGAATTGAAATTAAAAAATTATTTGAAGCAAAGAGGAAAAATGAAAAATGGATTGTTGTTATCGAAGTGTAAGCTAAAATTTTTGGTTCAAAAATTGTTTAACGAATTACTATGCACTTTACTATACATGTTTACATAATTAAAATTTTTATTTATTTTTCCGTTTTTTCCGTTTTTTTTTACTTTATGTAACAATTTGTTGTAACTTCCTGTAAATATTTATTATTTAATTTTTAATAAACAAAAATTCATTAAAGAAATACAGTTTTTCCTTTCATTCCTTTTTTTTTTTTTTTTCTCTTTGCTGTTTAAAATAAAATTTTGCTATTTAAATTTTATTACAAAAAATTAAAAAAAATAAAACAAAATAAACATTAAAATTTTTTCATTTTAAATTTTACTAATATGATATATCGGAAAAAAAAAAAGAAAAAAAGATAAATGATAAATTCGTTCATCCTTGCTTAAATTATCAAAAGTTAACAGTTACTGCAAAAATAAAATGTAATCTGTAAAAAACCAAAAAAACCAAAAAAAAAAAACAGAGGAAAAAAAAAAAGGAAAAAGAAAAAATGAAAAAATTCAACCAAATTTATTATCTTTCCTTTTTTTTCTATTTTGTTTTAAACATCGCAATTTTCCTACAAATATTTTACACAACTATTTTTTTTTTTTTTTAAAAAAAAATGATTTGATAACGTTTTTCAATGTCTTTCTACAAATTACTTACTCCTTTTTTTTTTTTTTTTTCTTCCTCTTCTTCCTCCTTTCGAGGTCAGACTATAATTTTTTTTTTTCCTTGCTTTCAAATCATTTTTCAATTCCTTTTTTGCATTTGACAATGAATTAAATTGAAATCGATATAAACACATAACTGTTTATTTATTTTTTTTTTCAATTTACAAAAAAAAAAAAAAAGTTTCAGTTACATTTGTTAAAAAGTAATTGCAATTTGTAATGTTAAATTTTTGCTAAAATTTAAAAGAAAACGGAAATAAATCCTAAATAAATTAATAATTTAATTTTCAACATTATTAATTTCCAACAGTATATTTCATATTTAAAACTAATAGCATGAAATAATTTTGAAAATTTAATCAATAATAATCAAAATAAATAAATGTTAATTTGCTAAAATTTTTTTTAACTTCGTCATATACTCGAATTAAATTTTTTTTTTTTTTTTTAAAGTTGTTTATTCAAATTATAATGTTTCGTTTTGTTTTTGTGAATATTTAAAAGAAAAAAAAAGTTCCTGGCGTCAACCACTTTACGAGTTTTTTTAACAAGTTTAATTAAAATTTTGAAAATTTTTCATTTTAAAAGTTTAATTAAAACTTATTCTTTTGTTTACCGATTACTACGGACAGTTTCTTCTACGAATTTTCCATATAATTTAATTTAATCTGGTACTAATGTTGTATTAATTAACATTTCAAAAATTAACAAATAGCTCACATTTCCATTCAATAAAGTTATTTTTAATTATTCCTAAATATTTATTATTTAATTTTTAACACAACTTTATTATATATTTATCACATACGTCAAAAAATTTTAATTCATTACAATTTACTTCAAATATATGATGGAAGTTATTGCATCACTTCAAATTTTTTTTTTATTATCTTAACAAAAATGAATTCAATGTTTTATTTTAGTAACAAAATTAAATAAATTATAATATACAATGAAAAAAAGATGAACAAAAAATTCGAAATTTCAGCATTTATCATATTTCAATGTAACTTAAAAGTAAAACAAAACATTTTATACTTTTTATTACTCGAATGAATAATAATTACTGAATAATATGCTAATTATTTTTTTTTTTATTTTTTATTTTTTTTATTTTTTTGCAAGAAAAGCAGTAAGTAAAGCAAAAATATTTCAAATGTGACAGTCGAGAAAGGTGACATTCAAGAAAAATGTCGCTAATTGTTAAATAGAGAAGGATGTCACATACATGAAGAATAGATATGTGACAATTTAGCAGAGAATATATAACAATGAGAAAAAAAAAAAACTTATCAGTAAGACATTTTCGAAAGGAATGAAAATTTAATAATTATAATTTATTGAGATTAATTAAATGGATAAAAATAAATATGAACTAATCAAGAATTTCACACCATTTTGTCTTATATTCATCACAAAATTTTCAAAAATTTTATCTGATAGAAATTTTTTTCTGCAAAAATTCCAAATAATAATAAATAATTTTAGTATCTTATATTTAAATTTATTAAAAACCTTTGTTGTATTTTTAATTTTGGTGTCTTTCTTTTTTTTAAATATTTAACAGTATGGTATTCATTTATAATAATAGTTGATAAATGTTATTTCAAAAATTATAAATTGAATTTTTTTTGATTTCAAATACCTTAGTAAAATCGAGTGTCGCATTATTTCCTTATTATTTAATTATTTTAGAAAAATTATACTTTTAAAATGATAATGACAAATTATCAATTAAAGAACTTAAATATAAAAATTTCAAAATTTTAACTAATGATAATAATTAGTAATAATGATAATTTTCATGTTGGATAATGAGCAAATGAATGAATAAATTATTATATAATCAAAGTTAGTTCTGCAAAATGCAATTATTATTTTTTTCTTTTTTTTCATGAAAGTTATCATTTTTATTGAAATAATTTTTAGAAAAAAAAAATTATTCTTAAAAGTAATATTATTAAAAAATTAAAAAGAAAGAAAAAGACAATCTAATAAATTCATTTGCATTTAAAATGTCACCAATCGGATTATTAATCCAAAATAGTATCAATGTGATTTATCATCTATCAGACGAACATCAAAATGTCATTGCTCTTTAATTTGTTTTAAATTTATTTTTCAATGAAAATATTTTGCACTTTCCAATTAACCATTTTGCAATTTTCCATTTTAAATTCCAGGTCACAGGTCTTTAAAATCAGGAGATTAGGTCAATCATTTTCTCAAGATTGATGTAATTAAGTGATAAATGTTTTGGATGATTGATATACAAATAAAACAAAGTAAATAAATAAATAAAATCAAAAAAAAAACATGGATAAACACAAATAAGTATGCAAATTTTTAGAAATAAAAATATTATTATTTAAAACATTATCTATTAGCATTTTTTCTTCCTTTTTATTTTGAGATTTATAGAAATTGATAAGTGATACAATTGTATTGATAAATGATATAATTGTGCTGGAAAAGGTGTGGTTAATCAGAGAGGTGTGACATATCTGAGAAGCGGAAGATGAAAGGAAGAGGGCGGGGGAGTGGACAAGATTCTTTTGTCAACGAAAAGTTAACAAAAGGTTGAATCGAATCACAAATGAATGAATAGGTAGATAGATAGATAGATGTATGTGGTTGAATGAAGTTCACTTCTAAAATAATTTAAATAATTTAAAAATGTATAATTTTAATGAAACAATGCTACTGAAAATTATTTTGCATATATTTTAATAATTCATTAATATTATTTATTTTATTCCTTTATTTCATTTAAATTTTATACTTATTTGTTAGGCTTTTGATCTAAAATCTAAGCTATACTCTAACTAATTTATTTATAAAACTATATTCTTACTTACATTTATAAGGCTTTTTATTTAAACTATATATTATATTCTTATTTGCTAGGCCATTTATTTTGACCATATTTTTATTTTTGACTACATATTTAGATTTTTTTGCTAGATTTTCTATCTAAACTATAAGTTATACCAATTATTTGCTATGTTTTACATCCATTCAAATCATAAGTTAAATTTTAATTTATTTAAGTTAAAAACTATACGACTATTATCCAGTTTAAACTTCACCTATCTTTTCCCATTAGCTATTAGCATGCTTAAGTGTTATACCTGTTTAAGAATATTTTTTTTAATGATAGGCTGAAAAGAAGATTTGAGAGATCCTGATAATCAGTTCTTAATTTCTTATCATATTATTGTGCTTAAACCAATCACTAAGCTATGATATCGCTTATCATAAGTATAGCAATACGAAATTATCACTGGATGATTATCAGCTATCATGTTTATAAAATAATTAGGAACAGTTTAACATTCTCTAAATGAATGTCAACTAATGTCAACTCATTAAATGAATGTCAACTAATTGTTTCTTTCAATGTCAACTATTCTTAATTTTTCTTTTCAAAGCAAAAAAAAAAAAACAATTTCATCTTATTTTTCATTTCATATATTTCTTGTTTACAATATTATCACTAAAAAGACACATTTTTGATTTCTATTCCATTCATTGATATTTAATTAAATTTGTGTTTTTTTTGTTTTGGTTTGCTAATGAAATTAGAATCATTTCGAATTTTTATTATTTTTATGCCATTTTTAATTTTATTATTACTAACAGTGTTAATTTCAGCTTTCCATATTTTATTTTGTTGCCGTACGAATAACAAATAATTGATAATGTATTTGAATCAAAAATCATTTTTCCTCTATTTGATCATTTTATCATATGCTAATTTGATGGTAATAGGACGATCGTATGAAACTGGTAAGTTATTTTATTATTTTTCATCTTTTCCTTTTCAATTTTATCATTTTTCTTTTAATATTTTTAAATTAACAAATAACTATTACAAATTATAATAATCAATTGATAAATCATTCAATAAATTAAACTTATTGATAATATATAAATATACTTCAGTAATTGTGAACTAATTAGTTTAATTACATTAGTGTATGAAAAATCTACTGATTAGAATTGTAAGTTTTCTCAAAATAAAAAAAAAAAAAAAGTTCAATCATAAAATAATTCTAAATATTATTATTTTATTATTTAATAAAGCATTAAATTACTACTAATTAATTAATTAGGTCAATTAATTAATGATTGTAATTTGTCTTTGAATAATTGTTGTTGATCTGATTTGATGTTGCATATTTCTTTTTTTTCGTTGTTACATCACAAAATAAACAAATAGAAAGTACTTCAAAAATAACGTCATAGTACATCAAAAAATTTTTCAAATTTAAAACTGAATTAAATTAAACATAGCCTTTGAGTAGCTTAAATTTTCTTTTTCTTTCATTCAATCTTACTTAATTTTTAGTTATTTTATTTAAAAAATAATTTCAATTTTATTTTAAATAATAATTAAAATAAAAATTTCTATTTCAGAAAAAAAAAAAACTCTACTTTTTTTTTTATTCCATCTCTGAATTCTAAACAAAATTTCAAATTGTAAAAATGCAATATTCTCAATTCATTTATTTCATTTCAAACTATAATAAATTTATAAAAAATTTTCTCCCTTATATATTTTTTATATGCCTACATAACGATGTAAAATTTTATTTTTAAATTTTAATAAAAATTCGCTGTAGAAGAAGAGGAAAAAAAAAGCTTAGCAAAAACAAATTTTTTAAAATAATAAATTTTATTAAAATTTATTTTAGGTGGATTAATGCGTGATGATTATGAATATGCATTGGAAGGTATTGCTGTTGATTATGTTACTAATCGACCGAGAAGTGGTACCATTTCACGAATACATAGGAATAAACAACGATTAAATCATCGACAAAATAATCCATATCCTATAGCTTCATCATCATCATCATCATCGTCATCACTATCATCATCATCATCATTATTATCATCATCATCATCATTATCAAGAGATGCTATTGTTTATCATCATAAATCATCAAAATATGGATAGTTAATAATATTATGATTTTTTTCAGCTAAATTTATTTTATTAAATTCATAAAAGAAAAAAAAAAAATTTTTTTTTTGAAATACATATGTTATACAAAATTTTTTACCAATTATCCTGTAATTAATAAGCATAATTAATTAATTTGAATTATAAAGTAGTAAAAAAAAATGATAAAAACCGTATAATAAATTCAAAAATTTTAAAAATTTTCTTTTTCTTTTATACATTTATCACATTGTACCATATATTTATCAAATTTTCATATTTCTTAAAAGAAAAAAAAAAAAACCTTCTTCAGAAAAAAATAATTCGTTCAATTTCAACAAAATTATTTTATGTGAGACTAGAAAATCCATTAAATTAGTTGAAAATTTACGTATGCACACAAATGAAGATTTTATAATTTGTGTAGAAAAAAGAAACATTTTGTGTCATCTTTAGTTTAATATAATTTAATTAAATGATTGTTGTATTCATTATAACACTAAATGAATGGTTAAAATAATTGATGCATTATTTTATTGCTAATTACATTAATTAGACAAAAATCTCCCACAATAGTATTTTTTGAATAATTATGTCATTGTTAATCTTTCTTATTTGTCATCATTTAATAATTAATTAGTAAGATGATAGTAATAATGACAATAATAATAATAATAATAAATAATAATAATAATAATAATAATAATATAAACAAATATAAATAATATAATAATAATAATAATAATATAATAATATATAAATAATAATAAAATAATAATAATATAATAATAATAATAATAATAATAATATAAACAAATATAAATAATAGTAATAATAGATCATACTATTATAAATATTATTACTATTATTATCACTATTAATAATACGAAATTATAACACTACAAATATTAATAATATTATTACTATTATTGTCACTACTATGACTAAAATGATAATTTATCAATAATTATTTTTTTGAAGAGAACTGTCCTAATTGATTAAAATTGTATAACTTTACATAATTTTTTAAAACAATCATCCTAATTGTGCCTCAAATCTCTTCTTTCATCTCAATCAATCTTTTTTATTTCATTAAGTAAAGGATGTATTATGTTCAAATTTATTGTATATCATTTTCATAACAAATGATCTCATCAATTTTTGCTCGCATCAATTGTTATAATAAAATTTAATGTTAATTTGCTTTCATCCTAATTTATAACTTCCCTTGTTACATATAGTTTATTTAAACTGAAAGATTTAATTGAATTTAAAAGTTACAAGACATGTGCAAACACTATCTCATTTACTAAAATGATTTAACGTCAAATTTTCTCTTTCAAAAAACTATGTAGTTCTCAATTTTAACTTTTTCAAAACTCTATAACTTCGATTTACTAGCATGACTTACAGAATTCTACAACTTTAGGATTTCTTCTAAAAAATCACGACATATAACTTACTACTATATTACTCCTTAGTTGATAATATAATTTACCCTATGACATTGTAGGATGATAATAGGTACAAATTGTCAATGGTAGGAGAAAAAATCTTAAAGAAAATTAAAATTAAAGAAGAGTTAATCAAAACAATGTGAAGAGGGAGAGAGAGAGAGCCAGAAATGAATTTATTTACATGAAATGAATTACTAGAACAGCAAGTAGACTCTTTCCGCTCAGGAGATGGAAGTAACGAACATGACAAATAATTAGATAACAGCAATTAAAACAATGAAAATTATTGAGTGAAAATTATTTCCTAATGAAAATTATCGAATTTATAAATCATAAATCTTTTAATTTTTATTTTCTACTTTTACAAACAACTGCTGCAAAAATTATTTAAAGAACGCAGTTATGATGAGATGATGTAGAATGGTTGATCTAAAAAACAAACGATAAAAGAATGAACAAAATCTGTTGAACACTAATAATAATAATAATAATGATAATAATAATGATAATAATAATAATAATCAATAATAAAAATTGAAGATAAACAACAAATCATTCAGAAACAAGTCACAAATAAAATAACCTCCACTGTAATACTTCAGTGTTCGGTATCAAAACTGAATTTCAAAAAAGAGAAAAGAAAGGATTTCATAATTGAACAATAAAAAAAGAGTTTCATAATTGAATTATATAAAAAAAAAAAAAGTTTTTTTTTTTTTTTTTTCCGGATATTTTCTATAAATTAATAATATAGATTCTATTTTTTTTCCAGATGGTCTTTCTCTAAAATTAACGTGCTTCAAAAATTCCAAAATTCCTCATCTCAAATATCCACTTTGTATTTATCATCTATCTTAACAAACTATCTCTATCAACCTCTATCACATTGTCTGTTTCCACCATTTTTTCGGAGCTACGACAACCTAATTTTTTAATTTAACAATAAGAGGCTAAAGATTACTTTTGCATAAAATGCAATACAACGCATATACAGAGATAAAGGCATATTATTCCTCATCATCACCATAAACAATTGCTTGCTCCAACATCCTATCCTCATTCATTGTTACAGCCTGAAAGTTAAAACAAAAATAAACAAGCAAAATTTTTAACCAGCTCTTTGGAGTATAATTCAAGAAATGTACTGCAGTTAAAAAGGTCTAATTTTTTTTATTCCCAAAGTCAAAGATTTATTGTCAGTTATTAGCAACGAGAAATAGCTATTTAATACAATAGCTACTATCAGGCATTATTCTCACTCAGAAGCTATGCGAACAGTACATTTCAACAAAATTCAATACTTTAAAAAAAGAAAAGAAAAAAAGTAAAAGATATTGACACATACTATGCTGGTAATATAGCTCACATACTTGTTTAGGTTACGTGCAGTTACAATTGGTTAATTAAAAAAATTTGGAAACAATGCGTCAACAGAATCCACTGCTTAGAAAAGAAAATGGAATTAAAATGTTTCAGAAGAAATATATTCAAGAAATTTTTTATAATCAAAATCCCTAGAAATTTTTGCAAGAAATACTCTTATTATAAGTGCTATAAGACGAACATCACTGTAGTAAAAGTAATATCATGCTTTAAAATGCCTTTATATATGAGATGAGATAAAAGTAAATGGTTTATGCTCCACTGAAAATTCACTCACTTCTAGGATATACTGCTGTAATATTATCTCAAAAATATGCAAAAATTTCAGAAATGAATTCAAATCCAATTAATTAGAATCGTTCACACTAGAGAAATCCTGGCTTCTTTGCAACTGAAACTAACGTATTATATATGAGACGAAGAAAATTAAAAATTTGTAGCTTTATTAGCATTAATATGTCGCGCATTTATACAGCTCTATCAAAACCATTACAATCAAAAATATATTTTTGCAGAAGAAAAGAAAATAAAATTCCTAATTACCTTCAGATCATCACTGTTTGGCATTACACTTGTGCTACCGGGCACTTTCACCTCGGATGCTAAATTTTCGACAGCACCGCTTCCTGCAGCGTTTTCATCATCATGAGTAGTCGATGTCACAGGTTCATTGCTTGAATCATCCACTTCAGTCCTCTTTTTTATCCGTTTTTCTAAAATTAAACCAACAATAATTTAAATATGATATTAATAACTATGTGTAAACTTAAAAATATAATAGATCTCAACACATAATAAAAGTGAGTAAAATGATTAGTCCTGTCAAAAGTTATATCATAAGTAATATTAACATCATATAATACTCACTAGAATTACGCTTAAATATCAAAGGAAGATCAAAATTTCAATTACTGTGAGTAATGACTAGGGCTTAATTGCTGTAGAGAGATCATTTATTGCGACAAGAATACATACGAATCGAGCATTGATGTTTCAGTATCTTTTCTTAAGATAATTTTCTTAATACAATTAAAACAACTATTTTCTTGTCCGTTTGAAATATTTTCTCTTTGCTAGATAATATGCAACAAAATTATTCCAAATTCAGTAACCTACCAGTTTTGGTTGATTCGGGTTGTGAATATTCCTCATGACTACTAGATGGTACCATAGCATTACTATCCCATTCATCGTGCCTAGAATTGTCAACACATCCATCTATCGGTTCATTATTACGCCATCGATTTTCTTGCGTAGTTTTGTAACCGTCTGAAAGGATGATAAAACTACAAGCGTTGAATCTTTTTTTTTGTCGATTATATTCTCATATAACCTAATATTTCTGCGACAGGTTTTATATTTTTATGTCATCTGAATTTTTTTATTCCTTAATAATTTTCTATATGAACCACTTTTCTTAGATTTAGCAGCAAACAAAATCACAAATCGATTTTACTCCCAAAAGTTTATTCTAAACTTTTGTTCTAAATGATAGCTCCTGTATTAAAACTTAATTTATCAATGCATATAGAAAAAAAAAAAAAAAAAAAACACAGAATGCATGTTAAGCATAATGATAAGCAAAATAAGACTACTTGATATCTTAAACTGCAAACATTTTTTATTAAATGATATTCAACACCACTGCATACTACTGGCATCAATAATTGCTGTTTTCATCAAGAATTCTACATTATAACAAAGGCAAGATATTCATGACTGAAAAAACATCACTTAGCTCATACCGGAGTTATTAGCTAACAAACTGGGTGGAAAATGTCGCGGTGGATAATGATTTCGTAGCCCTCTCCCTATCCCTGGCGAATGCATCAGTGGTAGCGGTGTTCGCAACATCTAAAATACCGTTAGAGAAAAATATTATATATAAATCTATTGATGAATTACTTAACAATAAAAAGACTGAAATATCAATAGAATAGTTAAATCATCCTGAAATGATAACAAATAAAGTAAATAGCATAACTGCGAAATAATACTACTTGTAAAGAACACACACCCCTCTAATTGGAGCTCCTCCGAAAGGCGGTCCACCACGGAAAGGAGAAAACGGTGATCTGCAAAAAAAAAGAAAAAAAAAAACAAACATAAGAATACAGATATTTGTAGTATTAATATAAACAGTAAGAAATACACAGTATTTCTGTACTAAAAAAT